TTTTGTATATATTACGCTGAGTCAAATCAGTTGTTTTTAAGACCTGCTGTTATTTTCTTGAAAACTCTTTTTATTTTTGGTGTCGGGATCAATAATTGAAAACTGTTAGATGAGGTATTGTGACTAACTGAAAGCTGCTTGTGTGAAGAGTTTTTATTGTCCTTATCAGGAACATTTTAGATAAGACTTGTAAGCATTAGTTTGTTTCCCACTTATGGCTGTGTTTTTAATTTTAACTTCCTTGAATGAATTTTGAAAGTACTTCCGTATAATTACACTGTGCTCACACTAATGAAAGAAGGTCTGTGCTTCTCCTTTATTCTCTATTGTCTGTCTGGTCTACTTTGAAATTGATTTGTTATTAAAATAACATTAAAAGTTCAGAAAAATTAGTGGAAGATGACAGACCTAAACTGTAAAATTAAAATAGTTCTTAAATTAATCTCTTTAGTGCTTATAAAGGCGTGTTTCCTAGAGAAGGACTGAGCCACATGCTCGACTAATGACATGTTCCAGTACAAATCTCCATTAAAATTTGTTTTAGAGTAAGACTAGGCTTAGTTTGTTTGTCCTTCTTTAGGCAACCCAGGCTAAGGATTTGGGCTCATTGTTGAAAGCTGGTCTTTAGTCAGTCAGCAAGTCAGGCTATGAATTTTCTTTGCTGGCAGGCCAGAGTTGCCAGTCACCCGGTGCTCCTTTTAGGCTCTCATTCCCAGCCAGGAACTATGACAAATGATTGTCTGCCTCACTCCTTGCTGTCTTCCAGTAAGTGCTAGAACCTGATATCTTCTCAGTCTAAATAGCACTCTTGTCTGTTTTCTGGATGGCTATTGAATATGCTCATTGTTCACTGTAAATAGAACTGCATTGGTTTTTTTTAATTTATCATTCACTAGACTACACCGTGTTGGTGGAATTGCAGCTCATATCACGCATAATGACTTTATTGGTGCAAGGCTTGCTGAGCTCATTTCCACTGAATGTCTGCTTAAGTTGATAAATTTCACCATGTCAGCGTTTCTTCCCTCACAGAAATTTGAGAAATTACACAATTTGTGGTTTTAAGCAGCTTATGCTTTAAGCAACATTTCTTTTGTTTTTATTAGTTAAATGCATGGATGAACATCAGCAATAGCTCAGGCTACAGATGATCCTGTTGTAGCCTCTATTAGTTTCTCTGCAGGAAGCTGACTGAGGTGTCTCTGTCCACAGCATTTTTAGTTAGTATCCATACATATATATCATTATCAGTGTATTTACCATCTTATGTCACAAAATATGTTCCACAGCCTTGAAGAATAGGTTCACAATTGTTCAAGTCTTAATCTTTAAAATAGTCGGGTTCCCATATGAACACTAAAAGAGGTTTTGCTTGTTGTGATCATTCCTCCTTTTCATTCTGGATTTTTAGAGATGCCCTCCTGATTTGCTTTCAGTGTAAGTGATGGCGGACAAAAAAATATATTTCAAAGTTTATCTGAAGCTCATCTGAGGCTTTACTGGTCTGAGTTAGCGGGTTTCTTCCAAACCTATAGTCTTTTTAGTGCAAAATTCCTGACTATTGTTTTATGAACAGAATAGAAAAATTATGAACCTGTCTTTTAAGGTCAGGGGCGCAGCAGGGCAGCCTTTTGGTGGGCACATGTTGTCAGTTTCCTGGTATTGCGTTAAACCTCAAGTATGACCTAGACGTGCAGCTTACGGGAAGTGAATAAACAATGATGGAGAGGATGAGTGAGAGAATGGGGGGTGGACTGACTATGAGTAGTGGAGAGAATTCTGCAAAGAGAAATTAAAGGTTACCACCTTGTTATCTTTAGCAATATCAAACTATGCCTGCAATAATTTAAAGCATTATGTTAAATGGGTCACACATTGGTAGCAATTAGAAATGCAACAGTGTAATAACTCAGTGTGGTGCTGGGTGAAAGGACCTTATAACAGGGTGATTTTGTAGCTAATTATTGCTGGCCGTCAGAAAAAATTCATGCTCCTTAGATGCAGGATACAAGATGCAGTAAATCTGTCAGGTCTGACAGTATACAGAAAGCAGGACAGTTGCTGCAGTAGGATGAAGATGTCAGAGCATAGGTGTCACAGATCATCTAGTTTTACTGTTAACTGGTGATTTCAGCTTGTACACATCAGTGGTCAACTGCAGTGATGGTTAAATGGGAAAATTCCACTTAGCAGACTAACTTTTCATTCAAGACTGTATGCACACAGGTCAAATAGCCATTCATCTAGCCACAGTGACTCTCTCCATGTACTTAAAACTGATCACTTTGGGCTTTTTTGGCACTTGCCCACTAGAAACACCATTCAGACTCTAGTCATAGAGTTAAATCAACACCTCGTTGATACAGTCTCAAATCAATCAAAATACGAGAAGCACGGTAGCAAGGTAGGATTTCTTACAGGGTTGTTGTATTGGATTAAAGGTGGAATAGCACCACAATGGTTAGCAGTGTCACTCACTGCAAGAATGTCCTGGGTAACGTTAGCTAGCTAACTAGTAACACTCACGTTTGCTTTGATTATGAAGATATTCCTGTTTTTCACCTCCCATACGACAGCGTTGTTAACCCATCCACTCTTAAGATAGTTATCCGTACTTTTGTAGGCTTTCATTTTTTGTGCGGTGTAAGGTGATGGATATATGTAAAAATATATGTTTCTTGCCCGCCAGGTAACCATGGTAATCACGTGACTGCAAAGTATGAATAGTCCGATGTTATAAAAAAAAGCAAAAATGACCTTTTAAAATGAACAAATAAACAAATAAGTCAAGGTTCAGCAGGTCTATAGATGGCAGCCATTGAAGTGCTTCATCTCTTTTGTCCTCTTGGTGGATTGTAACACTACTTTGTTTGGCGTTTGTGATGAAAATGGTTAGGGCCACTGTGGCCCTTACTGGATTGAATTGATGTTGAAGTACCTTCCTTCCAAGTCTGAAACATATTCAGTAAAAATGGTTGTAAAGGTCTTTTGAGGGTTCTTTTAACTTGAGACGGTTCACATCATAGTCAGCATAAAAACGTTGTTAGTTAGTTGGTCTGTCTGCCAACTGCCACAAGGTGAAAGTTTAGCCAACTTGTTGTAATCGTCCCATGTGCCCATGATAGTAAAAGAGTAAATTCCCTCACAGCTTAGCAGTTGATTCGTGAGTTAAAAACCTAGTCAGCAACTTATGGACAACGAGCCTGCCTTCCTGAGTAACACCGTGATGATAGTGCAGTGACCACAGGTGTGTGAAAGTGTGGGTGTATGTCACACACAAGACGGAAAAGAGCAAGGTTATTTGAGGTAATATGAGAAGCTGTTAATTCCGTTGTTCAATTTCGTACAACTGTAAACCTTGTTATCTAGTATTGGCCTCCCACATAAAGCAAAGTAAAAATAGGATATAGTATTTTTTTTTCATTACTGAGACACATAGACACATAGACACAGTGGACACAGTCACATTGATTCATTGGGAATTGTTTAACCTTTAGAGATATTTTCTAGGCCATGCTGTATGTTACTGTGTTTTGCCCCCATTGCAAGTGTGATATGTTGAAATTTCTGCATAACTGAGACGTCATCTTGCGTCAGAGCTCCCCTCACATCCAGTTTTCTCAGCACTGAGCATGCAGGCTCACACATGCATTAGTTTATCACACATAAACACAAATACACGCAGTTTGAGAATGTCTGAGTCATTTTTTTTCATCCACTCTCCTTCTTGTGTTTTCGTCATTTCACAAGAACCTTTTTGGATGCACGTCCGTCTTTTTTTCTAATTATCAGTTCAAGATGTAGATTTCAACTATTGAGACATGCCTCTGTGAATGCCAGCTCATCCTAATGGCAGTCTTCCTAAATACACGACAGATGAAATCTTATCAATCTCACTGCCTCTCTTTCTTTTTCTGGCTCTTTCCTCTGGTCATTTTTCAGATTTTCTCAACTTCTGCTACTCGATCGTCTTGTCCTTACTGGAGAAAGAATCTGAATTTGCCAAGTAGATTTATTTGCTGGCAGTACCATGTGTGTCGTAGAACCTTGTTACTCTTATTAGTTTTCTAGTAGTCAGCTCAGTGTAAGCTTCAGGCTCTCCTACATACACAACTAGCAAAACAGTTCTTTGAACCAGCTCTGTCACTCGGCTGCTAGCTGGGACACTTGACATGGCATCCTTTTATTTTCCAGAACATATGAAAACACTGGAAAATTCCAGGACGCTTGTAAGCAGAAAGCTGTCCCTGGCTTGCTTTACTCACTTGGCACAACATGAAGGCTTGCCTGTCAGGAGGTTGCTGGACCGGGTCTGCCTCTATGATTGGCTTAGGATAGTTGGTTAGGGTCAGGCTAGACTTAGCTGTCTGAAGGCTGGACGAGGATGTCGGAATAATTTTCTTTTGACCCCACAGCTATAAAAATGTGAATACAATGAAAAAATTATCGTATCCCTTATTATTTCTCAGACCATACCCTCAAAATAACATTTGCAAGTTTAATGTCAGCACAGTTATTAAATAGAGTCAACCTGGGTCTTAGGAAAATATTAGTAGAAAACACTGATTAAATATTATTGTCAGAAGCCTTTTAACATCAGTTTTGGCTCTGTGGTGCAGGGTCTTAAAAGGAGCACTTTGCGGTCAGTGGAACAGCTAAAACTGGTACAGTTCTCTAGACCTGACAGTTATAGTTGTCTGTAAAGGGCGGTTTAAAAGTATTTTTTGGCTGATGGTTGTGTGACTAAAACAAAATGTAAAACTTTCCATGTACACTCATAAAAATCTTGAGAAACTGGCTCCAGGATCAAAGCTCAGTGACATTATAAGCTGATTTATGTTTGTCTTCTAGAGGCATCTTGATCAATGTAGTACTGAATTCAAAAGAGGTCTAACCGATAGTCGTCTTCTGAATAGCAGGTCAATCAAAGAGCTGGTTTGCAAAAAAAGTCTGTGTCTGCCTTAAGTCTGTGAGAAGGTCAAGGAAAAGGAAAAGCTTACAGCTGTCCTATTAAAGTCGCAGCCCAACAGATATGCCAGGGATGTAGGACATGCAGACAGCTTGGCATAACATAATCCAGACAGAAAGAGTGACACCAGTGGTGGCTTTTCAGTTCCTGGCCCCAGACCCACCTCATGAAAAGAGAAACACACAGACACACTCAGACAGACACACAGACACACACACACACAGACACAGACACACACACACACACACACACACACACACACACACACACACACACACACACACACACAGGCCATCAATCAGGTTCTGTTGACTCCAGGGACAAGGTCAACAGCTGACCCCAGATGGGAGAGCCTGGGGTGGGGGTTGTTTTAGTCAGCTGATCATAAGGGTGTGTGGGTGACGTAATAACCCTGCGTCCCACCAACCCATCCACTTACATGCGCTACAGTTATTGACAGATAAGGCTGTAGCTTTTAGTGCTTCTTCTTGGCTCATTGAGTTATGCTATGTCATTTTGCACAACCTACACTACAAACAAGAACCATAGCTTTTTATTAGCATTTATAGGCCTCAGGTTCCTGATTGTGATTTGACCCACACTCCCACCCTGCCACCAGTCCTTACTACTGTTGTTGGAATTTTAGGCTCAGATTTACAGCCATACAGAGTAATAAAGAGAGGTTTGGGAGGCCCAGTTGGTAAAGTGTTGCAGTTGTTGCTCTAACAAACGACAGCCCTTAACAACATTTTTGCGAAAACACTCTTAAATTTTAGTTTGCCTCAGTCAGTAAACACTACATTGTACTAGTGTACAGTAGTAGGTAGCAATACTATCTCCTGAAAAAGATGTTGAGCTACATGCAGATTAATATCAGTAAAAAGTAAGTTTTAGGTTAAATAGTTCCTACTCTTCCTGCTGCAGAACTCTGTGGGAAAACAAAACTGAAATAAAAAGACAATGGGAGGCTGAAAGTGCAGGGAGAAAAGGTGGCATACATGGGATGGGAAGAAGGGGGTGGGGTTTAATAGTGGGAGAGAATAAGCAGGAGATGACAGAAACGTACGGATGAGCTGGTGAGGTCATTTGAGGTGTGCGTTTGTGTGTGTGTATGTGTGGGTGTGTAGGGTAAATTCGAGGCCAGGTTGACTCGTTTGCTGGCCTTGGAAAAGCAACCAAGCTGGCAGTGTGTGGGAGGGGAAAGCCCTGGGCCTGGCCTGGCCTGCCTGGGGCCTCAGCCTGGCCTTGTGCTGAAGCAGATTATTGAGTTTAACAGGATGTGGCCCAGGACTATAAACAGTAGTTCATAAATGAAGTTTGCTTTTTGATAGCAGGGGAAAATATAAGCCTATAATGTAGCAGTAACATAAATTGAAGGTAAAAATTTTTTTTGTTTGTTTCTTAGGTTGGTTGAAGAAATGATCAGCCCATGGCTTGGTCATGATCTGCATCAAAATTAATTGGCTGTTTTTACAGGTGTAAAGTCAGTAAGGAATCCTGTCTGTCATTGCACCAATGACAACATGTCGTCATGTGAACTGTTGTCGACATTTCCAACATGCCAAATAAAATTTAAGGTGGGAAGTAGCAGCTGACAACACCATGTGTGTCACAGGAGACACGTGGCTGTTGATATATTCTCCTGGACAACACTGGAACAGTGATAATAGCTACAATACGGATGATTTGGCTATTCAAATAGTGGAGGAAAATGGGTTACAAAAAGGTCTAGTATTTTACCTGAGTATTTGAGAGGCTATGTTTGTAACATAATGGGGCTTATATTGAAACACAAGCTGCTTCTACTGAACTTATTCTTTTGAGGACATGCACTTAAGAAAGACTCCTATCTGATAAATCTTACATACATTATAACCTAAGTGGTCTATGTTAAGATACACACAAATCATTGAAGGGATTTGTGATTAGTAACATTTACAGACAAAGAGATGGACACAGGCCAAGGGAATTATAGTTTATAAAGCTAACTGAAAGATAGGCCTGATAGACTTCCTTGTATAGCAGCGCCTGAGCTTATCATATGGTGTGTGTCATAACCACTGTCATTGTATCAGGAACGGCTGTTCCTCACTTATCCCAAGGCAACTGTTGACGCTGTACGAGGAACACAGATAAATGCCTTTTCTTTGCTTTTTGTAACTGCTTATATTTATTTTAGCCTGAGTGTATTTTGTAGCAGTTATGATCGTGGATTCACAGGGATGTTTTTATAGGGAGGGGGGTATTGTGTGACACCGTTTCAGATTACTCATCATGCTGTAAATACATGAACTATAACAGATAATGAAGCCAAGCTGTTTGTGGGCGTTTTATGTCTACAAATGTACTTTTCCAGTTCTGATTAAAGGAGCTGATAACCACCACCTTCAACCACAACCATCCGGCAGCTCTTCAGGCATTTTGCAGAACTAAAGGGGCTTGTTGCTGCAGTTTTGCACTGCTCTATGCCTCCATCAATCATGGCCAGTAGACCTGTCATTATCCATACACTCAAATACAATTCACGGCTTCAGTGGACACATGATGTGATGTACAGTACATGCATATGTGTGTTAAGCTTCTATACAGAGCTTCTAACACTAAGACCATTTGAGTACAAGGTTGTTTGGATTGCACCATGTTATACACTTCGTCAAAGGGATGCCGGTATTTGTCTGTGGTTTCATCTTTACTGTTTTGGTTGAAAGAGGAGGATATACTGCTGGCTTTAGCATTCATTGCAGAGGAGAAACTGAAGTAGAAGGACAACACGTGGAAGGCAAACAAACAGGAGGGTGGTCAAATGGGCTTTCACATGTTCCTCTGTGTACATGTACACACACACACGCACGCACATGATTTATTTCTACCTATTCCCAGAAATTACATTAGATTTCAAGCAGATTTAATTCTCTGAAAGCAATTTTGAAAGAAACACTTGCACTCAGAAACACACACATTCACATAGTTTTTTTCTTTTTTTATTGCGCAGCAGAGAAAAAAAGAGTGAGAGAGAGAGAGACAGGGGCAGGATTAGTAGCTATACGGTTGTGTGGCTGTGTGCTGTGGAAGGAGCCAGATTACCATCAGAGCAGTTGGAATTCAACCCTTATCTCTGCTTGGCAGGGCCCAGTCATAGGAACAGTAGATGAACTAGTCCTGGGTACGGGCCTGCCGGGGGACAAACACTGCTGCCTCTGTTACGCTCTGCTTAACAACTCGATTAGCATGGTACTGAGGTCGGCCATGTCTTGGTTAGCACCAACCAACCTGCAACTGTTTTCAGTGATTCTTCTGTATCAAGACTACTGGTCCTCTTAATAACAACACTGCATCAGCACAGTGTGTTCTGTTTCATGAATTTACATGATGTGGAAAACCTAGAAGTTACATTGTAATGAAACACAGAGCAATGACCTGCAGGTTTAAATCACGTATTTGCAGAACAAATTGATTTATGGCTAGTTTCAGGTTGAGCATGAATTAATCCATTGTAATGTGAAGTCATTAAGATTTTAAGAGAATCATAACCATAATTATTTCTATAATAAAGCCATTATGACACCTCCTAACTTTAATTGTAACCTAAGTTAAGCTGTATTTTCATATCAAATCAATATTAAGCCGATTTTTATATCAAATCTAAAGATGTTCGTAACAAAACTATTGTTCTTTTTATCAAATGTTTGTGATTTACTCTGCTGCAAGAAAAAAAACAATACTCTTTTCCATGGTGAAATACATGTGTCTATGTGCTTATCTGTGTTTCCACAATTGTGCTTCTGTGGAATGATGCCTCTGGTGTCAAAGTGTCCCTTTTCCAAGCCTTGTTGTTTACTCATGTCCCCTCAGCCAGAAGAGCCCAGAAAGGAAGGGGTGAGACAGAGTAGGATGGGCTAAAAACAGGTCACACAGGTGACGGGAAAAACAAAGAAGAATGTAAACGTTTAAAGGGACCCTCTGTACTTCTACCCCTCTGTATCCCCCTAGAGAATGGCAGTTGATCCACTGGGCAGACCAACTTTGGAGAGCTCATGCCTGATCTTGCACTCAGGAAGCACGCATGCACGCCCATGCACACACACACACACACACACACACACACACACACACACACACACACACACACACACACACACACACACACACACACACACACAGGGTGAGAAAAGGAAAGAAAAAGCTAGAGTGAGAGACAAAGAGAAAGACATTACCGTAGAGCTACCAGCAAACACTGATAAGCTGCTTTCGATCACACCAACATTGACGTGTTACGGTCAGCGAGTGGTTTTTCTAACGTCAGATGGCAAAAATATACACATTTATCTGTGTCCACCAACTGTTTACCACCCTCACATGATGTAATCATGTTAACACTATGACCTCTATGTCTTGTCCTCTCATGCCTGTGAAACTTTTGCAGCTGAACTGTGAGTAATGGCTAACAGGCAGCTATGACAGAAGTAAGAACAGCTTTTCAGCATTAATCAGTAGCAGCATATTGTTGAGATTGTTGCTTCATCACAACTAATCATTTATCTGTTTAAGGAAGATTTGTCACAGCATAGGCTTTTCTTTTTGTCTAAAAGTCCTATCCAGTCATCATAACAAATTGTGCTGTATTGACAAGCCCACTCACTAATAAATACTTGATATTTCATTTGTTTAATCCTTACAAAAACCTAAATGTAAAAACAACCCTCATTTTACTACTGGTTGCCTAACAACTGTTTGTGCTGAGCTCAGTTAGCCAGCTGCTGGTGGTATATTGAATACAGTACAAACACAAGAGTGGTATCAATCTTATCATCTAAGTGAATAAGCATATTTTCCAAAATGTGGAACTAATCCTTAAATGTAAGAAACTGTAAAATTAAATAACTGAATAAACAAGTTGGACCCACAGGTAGCGTTCAAGCTTACTATATGGTCTTCTGGAGGGTGTAGTAGGAACACGAGGGTGTGGGAACTTCCACACATGGATAAATATACATGCATACAATCACACACTTTGAGCATTACTCACAAACAAATGGCACACAATAAATTGGAGAGATGCATACTCCCATTTCCAAGAACAGCTTTCCCTCTGTTGAGCTTGTCGTTGTCTACCATGTTCTCTCACTCCTCCTCATCACTCAATCCCTATCTCCCCACATCCATTTTTATAAGTCTCAGGGGGCCTTGGGGTGCCTGTGAGAGGCTAGTTAAAGAGCACGGCATGCTAATGGCTTGGAAAGGATATGAATAGAGGGGCGACTGGAAGGCAGCCATGGCTGAAATGACACACACGTACACACACACGTACACACACACACACACACACACACACACACACACACACACACACACACACACACACACACACACACACACACATAAGCGCTCTCATTATTTCTGCCCCTCGCTTTCTACTTTACATGCACACTCTCACACATCTGTGTGTGATTAGATTTTGTTTAGGCTTCTCGTGTTACTCCCAAAAGACAGCAGTATTGGCTGGAATCCAGAATGAATGTGCCACCTTTATTGTCTTTAGTTCACTTCCATCCGTACATATTCACACCTTTTTTCTTTCTTAGGTACACACTTATTATTCATCTGCTGCACAACCTGTGTGCTGTGTCTTAAATGGATATATAATAAGGATTTCTAATCCTCTTTTATTTTCCCACAGAGTTTGCTGGTAAAGGGAGGGTTTGGAAAGGCTCTGTCTGGCTGTGGTTGCATTGGTTTTGAGTTAGGAATCTACATGTCACTTTCACAACTTAACACCTCCTCTCCTTTTCTGCCTTCAGGACCTGTCCTGCATTGATGACCTCTCCACAAACTCTCTGTTCTCCTCTCCGGCTGACTCACTGTCGGAGTATGCTGATGCCCAGTCCTTCATCAGCACAGACAACCTGGACACAGTGCCCACCCTCTGGGACATCAACACTAGTACTACCAACACACCAGCACAGAGCCAGGTAGAGGTCAGTAGCAAGCACTCACTCATACACGTCATTACCCCAAACACTGATTACCACTCATCTTACTTACATTTTACTTTCATGTAGCACGAACTTGTTTAAATCAGCACATTTATGTACTGGGGCTGGTGGGCACCAAGCAACAGCAAGCAAGCAAAGAGATTGTCCGTCTAGCACTGTAAGCATTAGTGCTGCTCTGGCTAACTGCCACATTTTGCTGTCAGGTGAGACTTTTGTGGTGTTGCTGGGTTTGTGTACGTTCTTCTAAAAAATACAAAAAATGCCAATACCATCCACACTATAGCTCTGTTTCAACACAGATATTCATATTTTATTTGTTAGCCACCATGTTAGCCATGGATTTAGGCCGATTTGTATCAAGTTAGCCTATTATCTCTTGGAAAGTAACAGTTAATCGCCACAGTTAGTTACTGAATATTTTCAGTATCTGTCTTATGCTCTGTGTCCTCAAATAATCTTTTTAACCATCAGACAAATAATGATTGACATAGTACTGTACAGTACCCATAAGTCTTTACTTTTTACGCAGGCAACACTTAATTTTGCCTTCTGAAAAAAAAGGGGAATCCGCTATTTGGAAATTGCAGCCGGAGCACATCAGGAGCCTTGATCACATTGGCTCCATGACGGACCACTCCTAAGTTGCACATAGACACTGTATACATAAATGTTTAAAAAGTCTTTACTGTTTTTTGTTTCATATTTTACATACCAGTTGATTTTGTTCACTGTTGTCTCAGTGGTGCACAAAATAGTATCTCTCTATTAGCTACTGCTGTAGAGATACGTATGAGACTGAAAATAAGAATCATCTTTGTTTTTGATGCACTGTCCCTTCAAAGAAACTCATTTAGCTGCAGTATATCATGGTCTCCAACTCGGTGATCTAGGAGGAGCAAGTTCTTGAGTGTTGTTGCTCTATCCATGCTCCTGTTGCTGTTGAGTCCTCTTTGAATTAGACGGGTCCAAAGATATCTTTTTGATATGAATCAGAGTACATTTATTTCTCCTGCCCTATGAAAGCCTTTTATGTTTTCCTTTTCATTCTGCCCTCATTTCATCCATTATGTTTCCCAGACACACACGGCTTTATCTGCCGTTTGCTGTTGTTGTCGCTGGCTTTTCACCGCCAGACAACAAATTGCATTTTGTTGAGTGCTGCTCCATCAGACATCCATGTCCAGTGCCCACGCGCTCTCACGCACATGCATATACACACAATACACGCATACAGTGATTACTCATGTTTTTTTGTTTCTCTCTTCTTATGCATTTGGCACTGTTTTTATTTGTGTTTGTATTTCTTCATTTTATGTTTTGTTAACAGCTGAATGGCACCGGCAGGTTTCATGGCTTGGCCAGTTTGGATGATATAACTGCTATTATCAGCACCCCACCTTTAGGAGGATTTCAGGTAGCCACACCAACCTCTCCAATCTGATGTTAAATTGAAACTAAGCTCTCTAACTGGATGAGCCTAATCATTTGCAGTTCTCAGTTATGCACAGAGATGCAGATTATTTTACATGTCTAATATGCAGTTGTCATTGCGCTGTATGTTTGCAATACAAGATAAGACTTACATTGTTTTACATTGCAACGTAAGATGCCACTAATCTAAGACCAAGGGCCACATTTTGACAGTGCAGTATATTAAGGTAGTAGTATATGATGATAATGCTTTTGCTTTCTTTTCCAAGTCTGTATTACCCCAGATGATGAGAGCATTACTGCATATTGCATGTATTGGACACTGCAAATCCACGTAGCATAAAGACAAAAAGCATTGTCTAAATTGACAAACAGTAGTCAGTGTAATATTGAGTTGTCTGTCAAAATGGGACCCTTTTGCATTTCCAATTTCTCAATATGTAAAGCACTCTTTTGTCAACAAGTTTCAGAGCTGTCATTCATTCTGCTTCAGCTGGTTTTGTGCACCTTTCAGTTTCATTTGTTATTTGACTGATAACATTGGTAAATATTCCTTGATAAGGAGCTTTACATGTGTTATGCTAACTTTTTACTAACTGCTCAACTGCACCTGACTTTCAGCTACAGTCTCTTTCCTAGCTCATCGTCATCTAACCCTGAAACAAGAAGTATAACTCCCAAATGTGGCTGTTATTAATGTGAATTACATTACTGAAGTCTCTTTGGTGTTTCCAGGCTCCGAGAGCCCAGCCGCCACCAGAGGAGGAAGAGGAGGCTGAGGAAGAGGAGACTGAGGAACTGGGACATGTAGACACATATGCTGAGTACAAACCTTCCAAATGTAGGCCACTAGACTGAATATCAACATTACTTATTAATTCATCTTTATTTTTATTCTTAATATGGCCAGATTTTTCCCTTCTTTAAACTGCTGTTTTGTTTTTTCCACTCTTCAGCTACTATAGGAATTTCTCATCCTGACATAGTGGTGGAAACCAACACGCTATCCAGTGTCCCTCCACCTGACATCACATACACTCTGTCTATCCCTGAGACAACTATTTCCTCTGGCCTGCTGTCCGCTCTGCAGCTAGAGGCCATTATCTACGCCTGCCAGGTACACACATAGGCTCATATACTTAAAGTGTACATACAGCACTTCTACATTTTGGAACCATAAATTATTAATGTTTTGATTATGGAGGCATCTTTGTTCATGCATTTGTTCTTTGTGTGTCCTCAGCAACACGAGGTTATCCTTCAAAACAACCAGAGGGCAGGCTTCCTGATCGGAGATGGGGCTGGGGTCGGAAAGGGACGCACTGTGGCAGGAATCATCCTGGAGAACTACCTTAAGGGAAGGAAGAAATCACTATGGTAAGAGAGATTTACTACTCTGGTAGAACATAAAACCAATTTGAAACCTGTAGCAACTGTAGTTTCATTGGGTCTCAATCATTTATTTATATGATTGTATTTTGAATCCTGTTGTATGCCAGGATATACTGAGCATGTAAGGGCTAGTTTGTGCACGAGCTGGCTAAATTACTGACTTTCCTCTTCCTTCCCCCAGGTTCAGCATATCCAATGACCTGAAATTTGATGCAGAGAGAGATCTCAAAGACATAGATGCACCGTATATTCCTGTGCATGCCTTAAACAAGGTGAGTCCAGGTGGAAATGGCGTGACAGGCTGATAAAATGTTGTTGGCAGCTGTTTAAATTGATGTGCATCTGAGCAGAAAATTAAACTATCCGTATTTGGTGACTGCGTGGCTCTGTAAATGTTCAGACATATCTCACCAATACCACTCTCCTCTTTTGAATGTTTATTTTCTTATTGTAGATCAAGTATGGAGACACAGCTACCTCAGAAGGAGTCCTGTTTGCAACTTACTCTGCGCTTATTGGAGAGAGCCAGGCAGGAGGGCAGCACCGGACGAGAATTAAACAGATCTTAGATTGGTGCAAGCCAGACTTTGATGGAGTTGTATCCTTTCATTTTAACAATCTCACATCCAACAATTTTTTTTAACAAAAATTGCCATTCCATGTCTGCACTGTTTGCCCTTGACCATTCCCCATTACAGATTATTTTTGATGAATGCCACAAAGCCAAGAATGCCACATCTACAAAGATGGGCAAGGCAGTGCTTGACCTGCAAAACAAGCTGCCACGGGCCAGAGTGGTGTATGCCAGTGCCACAGGTAGGCTGACACACAAAGAAACACACTTATATACGTAATGCAATACAACTGAGGATTTTAAAATATATCTTTTTTGTCATACCAGGTGCCTCTGAGCCAAAGAACATGATCTACATGAGCCGCCTGGGAATCTGGGGTGAGGGCACACCCTTCAGAATCTTTGATGACTTCCTGCACGCCATCGAGAAGAGGTTTGTAGGGTGAAATGTTGCAGAATTTCTCTCAAAAGCCTCATGTTTTCCAAGAGCCTTTCAATCATGTGGACACATCCTTGAATCGCTGTGCTTACTAGAAAATGCCATACAATGAGTTTGTGGTAATGACTGGTTGACCCCATGATTGAGTTATGTTGAATAATTTATATGCCGTTTGTATACAGAGGTGTTGGTGCCATGGAGATTGTTGCCATGGACATGAAAGTGAGCGGGATGTACATCGCCAGGCAGCTGAGCTTCTCAGGGGTGTCTTTCCGCATTGAAGAGATTGGACTGGACAGTGACTTCAAACTGGTCTATAACAAAGCTGCCAAACTGGTGAGGGTCATGCCTCTCAGAAGGATTAGTTCCTGAGATTGTGATCTTGTGTGTGGGTTAAAAAAACAATCACTCTGACTATTAACATCTGGAATCTGTGTGCAGTGGGCGGAAGCATTGCAGGTGTTCATGCGTGCAGCTGATGAGCTGTGCCTGGTCAGCAGGAAGTCTCTGTGGGGGCAATTCTGGTCGTCTCACCAGCGCTTCTTCAAATACCTCTGTATCGCTGCCAAGGTCCGATGTCTGGTGGAGCTGGCCCAAAAAGAGCTGAAGGCCGGAAAGGTCAGCACAACACGCTCTTGAACACTAAGTCATTTCGTATGTATGATCCAGACTATAAATGACCCAGAGGAAGAGCCAAGCAGGAACTGAATTTCTATAGATGTTGCATAAGTGCTGGAGGACATAATACGTGTTAATTAATGTTGTTTTGCCAATACTTTGCTTTGTCAGCATAGGAACAGCAGAGGTCCTTTGTGGGAACAGTAGACCTGTTTGGTTGTTGATGTTTTGATTGTTTCTCTCCACTGCAGTGCATCGTTATTGGGCTGCAGTCTACCGGGGAGTCCCGCACCAGAGAAGTCCTGGATGAGAATGATGGGCATCTTGACAGATTTGTTTCTGCAGCAGAGTGAGTGAAAAGGAAGATTTTGTCTGTTGTTTTTTTCTTTCTACGTAAATAGGTTTATTTAAAAGAATGCTCACTAAAATGACAAAATGTCTTCACCGGCTAACAATGTCTAAACAGCTCATAGCAACAAAGTTTTGCAGGACTCCCTACCTGTCGTGTACATTTAAAACCTGTTCGGATTGTCTCTGTTTACTGGAAGCCGTAGCACTCTGTGGATTGCTTTATTAAACTGCCAAATGATAGGATGACTAATAAAATGATTCAAGCTATGCAGACCATCCTCAATTAAACCAAACAATCCCTTTAGCTATTAGCAACTATTTAATTAGGAAATGTCTCATCCAAGAAAAACAGGAAAGGGATGGTACAGGTTCTGAGTGCTTTGAGCCTGTTTGACCCTAAACCTCTCATAGCAGACATGCCTGCATGTCTGAGAATATTAGCTCACAGACAACATGTTCATCTGCCTGTCAACACTTGACAGCTATAATGTGGCTGAATCAGGAATGTACGAAGCCTCAAACTGCCACAACTGCCTTGTGTTTCCCTGAACGCTTTGCTGTCAGAATAAAAGTCTCTATCTCTTTTCCTTTAGGGGAGTATTCCAGTCTCTGGTAACAAAACATTTCCCATCAGAGAAACAGAGGAGGGAGAAGGCACCAGGAAATAAGAGAAAACGTAAGTGAAGAGAATGCAGTTGTCACACCATCCAGCACATGTAATAGCATTAGAACAGTTACATATTATGTTTTTTTTTATGTGTATGTACTCAGTGCTCAGCAGACATGTCAGGCGTTTGCCCTGCGGCCTAATTTGACAGTTAACAGTGCGTTTGAATGTATTTTGTATTTGTGTGTATATAGCTGTTTGAACACCATCTGGCAGGATTGATTCACAGTGAAACGCCTTTTTTCTTGCAGTCTGTATCTTTTTCTTGGCCTCTCATTGAATGATACTTCAAGGGGTGTTTTTGAGCTGTACTTCTTGTTTCTCATTCTAATGATCATGTTGTTTCTTCCAATCAGGGAAGCCTAGAGGTCGCCAGACCAAGGTACCCAAGCACACAGTTGACAGCGGCGGTGTGATCAACATCAGCGATGACAGCAGTAGTGACTCTGATGGCATGGACACAGACTCCAACTCCTCACCAGACTCCCTGTTAGACAATGACGATGTCATCTTTGTGAACCACACTAGCTGCCAGACAGGTAGGGAGATGCCTCTTTTCTTCGGTTTGTGTTGTCAGTAGGAGTGATGTGCGATGTGTCCAGTCTCAGTTATATTTGTCAGTCTTGCCTGTTAGGGTTACATGGTTAATGTCCCCTCTGCCTCCTATTCACAGCCAGGATAGAGGAGATGAAGCAGGGGCTCCTCAACAAGATATCCGTACTAGGAAAAGAACTACCTCTCAACACCTTGGACGAGCTCATCGATAAGTTTGGAGGACCAGATAAAGTCTCAGAGGTACGAGAATTATCTAATAAGCTTAAATGTTGCAGGTGGGATTGACATTCTCTTTTTTTGTCACCAATTTCTTTCACGTATTAAGTCGACGAATATTTCTTTTGCAGATGACTGGTCGTAAGGGTCGTGTGGTACGCCGTCTCGACGGCAGCGTCCGTTACGAATCACGGGCTGAACAGGGTCTTACCATTGACCACATAAACATCAAGGAGAAAGATCGCTTCATGAGTGGAGAGAAGGTCAGATAGACCAATCAAATACATATGTCCTGCATATCAAACCTTGTGTAGCCGTAGAAATTTACTGCTTTATGAAAATTGTTCACAAGATCTCTACCAATAATCTAAACATCTCTAATTTCCAGTTGGTGGCCATCATCTCAGAGGCAGCCAGCTCTGGGATTTCCCTGCAGGCGGACAAGCGAGTGAAAAACCAAAGGCGCAGGGTCCACATGACCTTGGAGCTGCCTTGGAGTGCAGACAGGGCCATCCAGCAATTTGGTGAGTCAGGAGATGTAATCTTACAATGAGCCTTTCAAAGGTGAATGCTTGAGAATAAAATTAAACAAAGACTATTATACTTGCAAGAGGAAGGAGGGCATACCATGTAATATCATGCATATTATATAACTGGTGGGGGTACTTTTTGTACTCACCCTCTGTCCTTCCTGTTTCCTGGGGTAGCCCCTAGTATGGGTTTTATTTACATATTTAGCATGACTTTGTTGCAAGGCACAGGGATTTAGTCAAATATAATATCTATATCTTTTGTCCGTTAAGTATCATTTTCAGACACACACACACACACACACACACACACACACTATCACACACTATCACACACTATCACACACTATCACAAAGGAGTGGATTAATTAATTGTTTGCAGTAATTTGCTTAAGTAATTCTTTCCATTAGATCAGATTTCACTGTTATTTTATGTTGCGCCAAGTTTGTCACCAAGAATGTCCCGTACTTACTTTTCTGTTCCTGATTTATTTATCCATCCTTGCTGCTTGTGTTAAGATGAAATCCTGAATGTTAAAAAATGTTTTTGCGTATCTGGTTGAAATGAGTTTTATATCACCAAAGGTCATTCATACAGACCCATACTACTCTTGTGTAATGTCATACCTGTACACTGTAAAATACATGCAGGCTGTCGTCTCTCTTGCTGTTTTATTTGTATAAATTCTGTCTTATTCACTTTTCCTTGTCTCTCCAGGTCGCACCCATCGGTCCAATCAGGTGACAGCCCCAGAGTACATTTTCCTCATCTCTGAGTTGGCTGGGGAGAGACGTTTTGCCTCCATTGTGGCTAAGAGACTAGAGAGCCTGGTAAATATCAAAGCCCTATATATGTGTTTGTGTGGGTGTCTATGTTGCATTTGCTCTTATTTACTTATTTTTCTTACTTTGAGTGCAATCTGTGTCAAGGGAAAATAGTCCACGTCATCTTGTCTTTATGGAGTGTGAAAAGAATTGTTCCACTGTAAACAGAGAGTGTCTGTGTTTTGTGTTTTTGATATTAGATATTGATTGTTGTGCTCTGGGTTGCCATCGACTGTACGGTTTGCTCCCACACCCTCTGTCCTTCCTGTTTCCTGGGGTATTCCCTAGTCTAGAAGCTCTCTGTAGAGCCTCTTTTATGGCTGGTTCGCTTGAAGTTACATCAACTTGTCTCCACAAACCTCAAGAGATTCTGGGTCTTTCCCTTCTCCAGCTCAATAATGGAAAACTGAATAAGCAGAAAAAGCAACGCAGCTTGTCTGGATAATTTATAAGTCTAGGTTTATTTTCCATAATTATCAATGCATTTCAGCACAAGCAGTCATTTATTTCCACAGTGACACAGCATGACAGTCCTTTTGGGAAAAGGGCAGGCAGTGTGCAATGGGATGGTGGTTCCAGGAAGTCATTCTTGTGTTTGCCAGCTGTGTTCGGTAAATGTGCATCAGGAATAGGTCACATCTCGCCTGCCTGCCTGAACCCGATACAACACAAATTCGCACACACAGAGTAGCTCTATTTTAGACGGTTGAATACCTCCACAAACCGGCTGACTACAGAACAGCAGTGAAGTCATATTTGGCTAGTACACCCCTTTGTTTTGGTATCTCAAGACAGTTTTCTGTGTGGGAGAGCCAGCAACTGGCTACAACACTGATTTGCTGTTGACTTTGCTTTCTTGTGAATTTTCCTTCACCTCCATCGCAGTTTATTTGAAATCTTTAAAGTATGGAAACATAAGCTGGGATCTTAGATGACATCAACAAGACAAAAGTGGATTAAGAAACATCAATTAATGCTGGTTTTCTGTCTGTTTTATCTTTGAAAAATGTTTCTTAAAGTCATACAAAACGATAAAAGTGTAATAACATACACTCCAAAATCATTTTAATACTATGTCTCATATATTTAAAAGAGCCACATTTATAAATAAGAGGGCTAGAAGTCCATGTTGTTATCTACTGTAATGTTTGACTAATCCTATAATAATTGTATAGTATCCATAAACGTCATTGTGCTTTCATTAGCTATAAAAATTCGTGTTCACCCTCTCGTACCAAGACTGAGCAAGAAGTCGGGTTGGATAATGATGATCAACAGCAAATGCAGATTTATCCCACGTCATTGTGTCCGTCTGTATTAGTGCGATGATGCTCTGAAGGCTGTAAACCTAATACCTCTAATACTAATAATAATACCGTTGCTAATCCACTTTGCAGGGTGCATTAACCCATGGAGACAGAAGAGCCACAGAAACTAGAGACCTGAGCAAGTACAATTTTGAGAATAAGGTAGGCAAATTTCTGAATACCTGAAAATAATATTTATGACCTTAAGTTAAGTTTTTCAAACTTTTGACAATATACTAGATATCTTATTTTAACTGTTCATTTGTGTTGCTGAATGAGCCTCCTGAGAAAATGTGTCTGTACCAATTACGTGACCTGTTTGTTGCAGTATGGTACCAAGGCTCTAGATAAAATCACCAAAGCAATCCTTGGCCACATAGAGAACAAGGTGCCCCCTCCCAAAGGCTACCCTGCGGGTGACGCCATGTTTTTCAGAGGTATGTTTGAGTCAGTATCTGTAAACGGAACAACTTCATCAGCACAAGGTTTACTGTGATTAATCATTAAAACAACTATGTGTTTCTTTATTTCAGACATGAAACTTGGAATGATAGATGTGGGCATCTTTTGTAAGGAGTCTCGCTTTGGGATCAGTACTGAGAAAGGTAGAGTACCCAAGAGGCATGCAGGCATATTTTATGCTAGTATACTCAAGTTGAATACATCTACCCAGGCCACCTACTACAAAAAAGTTTAAATATCGACACAAAATCAGCTCCATTAACTACTCTGTGTTGTGTCTTTATCCCAGACTGCAGCATCACAAAGTTCTTAAATCGCATCCTGGGGCTGGAGGTCCACAAGCAGAACTATCTCTTCCAGTACTTCACTGACAACTTTGACTACCTAATCGAGAAGGATAAGAAGGAGGGCAAATACGACATGGGAATCCTAGGTATGGAGGTCAAGTGTTACTCAACACACAGCATGGTTTTAGGTTTTTACATAAATACATAATTTGTGATCTAAAATTGAAACGTAATGTAACCCCAACCAGCAAAAGATTTACCCTTCAGGTGCTGATTTAAAAAGAAAGATGGTTCCCAATCTTCTTATGTGAGTAATTATTTCAAACACTTGTTCTTTTGTGTGTCTGACAGACCTTGCCCCGGGTAACGATGAGATCTATGAGGAGAAGCAGGAAACTTTCTTGACAGCTGGAAACCCTCAGGATGGACAGGTTGTTCTCTATAAGGTAGGCACCGCAGGTACACTGTTAGATGGATTTCTTGAAGTAATTGTATGTCACTGTCACTGATTCACCTGTGATGTGGGACTATCATTACTCTGGACAATATACCATTATTGTATCATATCTTAAGTTACTCTGCAATGGTCCAGCCTTAGTTTTAAAGGAGCCAAAATAAGAATTGTGTGCACAAACCATGAACAGATGAGAAGTATTGTCACCTACATAGGCCTGTATGTAAGATGTAGCAGCCTCCAGAAGGTCAGCAGACAGCGTGGGGAGCACAGACTGATTTTGAGGCATTCCACGTCACCAGGATGTGACCTTCTTAAATCCTGTAACAGAATGGACACTGCATTGGTGGGCCTGCCAGAAAGGCTTGGGCGTTACAAACCAGAAGTGATTTCATGAATATACATGATGCCCAAAAAAAAGCAAATCTCGTGCTCTCTCCTCTGAGTTAAATCCAGTAGGGCTTGTAGGCTCCCAATAGACCAAAACAGGGAAAAGTTCATGTTTAATGGCAGCGAGGCAATTTTCACAGATTGGGTTGCAAATACCAATGACTATGAATTCATTAAGATTTTCATGACAGGGTTTGCACTGTGTACAGTTTTTGCATACAAAGAGACCTGTGAAATTTGTTTTAGATAACCTGCACTCCCAGAGGTAACTCAAGTAGCTACCTCTGCACTATATGAGTTTTGATTGATGTCACTTTGCCAGCAGTAAGGCTATGATCATACAGGCTTAGCCTGGGGCTGAGGAGCCTATGTAGACACCAGTGGGAGGTGGAAACAGGATAATTACTGGTATCTTCTGCTTTTAGCTGTCGGCTGCGGGCTACATTTGGCATTTCAGGCAGCCGGGCAGAATGCTGCATAGCTAAGACCAGTTGAGCAGGAACAGAGTGTCACTTATTCACTTACAGTGTATATCGGTCTGAGTGTGTTTTCTTACATTTATGTTAGATTTTTCTTTTGGGTTTCTATGCAAGAGTTTGTCTTACCTTCAGGACACAGTGGTTCCCCCTCTTTCACAGCACATGCTTTTGTCTGATCCTTTTTCTTTTTGTCTGTTTATTTGTATTTTTGTCAACAAAGAGTAGTATACAAATAATATAAAATATGACAAAAAAAAAAACAGTACAAAATACAAGTGCATACATATCCAGTACTTATACAGTAAACATTAATCAAGGTACAAAGCTGCTTTACATGATGAGTGACATTTTACATAATAGCCTAGTTATTGTAGTTAAGAGGATATTTATTGCCTAGCCCCTACATTGTCAATAAAGGGTCAAAGTGTTTCATAACGTTTTTGATCAACATTGTGTAAGTGGGAGGTTGTGCCTGTTTTCCAGTTCAGTAGAATCAATCTGGGTGCTAAAAGGTTTATGAATCTCGCCACATCAGAAGTGTGGCCTCTGTCCTTTCCCAGTAACCTACATACAAGTCTCTGATTTTCTGCCCCTGTAGATCAGTGTGGACAGAGGTATGCCCTGGGATGAGGCCCTCAACAGGTCACTGAAGCTCAGCGGTCCTGATGAGGGATTCTATCTGTCCCTGAAGGTGAGTCCATGCGATGATATATAATTTATTATTTAAAACAGACCTCACAGCATATGAATGGATGTCCACTAAAAAGAGTCCCTAAGACAAAAAATTAACTCTGTGTGACTTCTCCACAGCTGCGAGGTAACAGCCCGTGTGTGCTGCTAGCTGAGCAAGGACGAGGCAAGCACCTCATAGTCTACAAGCCTAACATTGGCAAGCAGGCCCACCCTGAGAGCCTGGAGAACCTGCAGCAACGTTACCGGAAGGTAAGGCTCTATTAAGCTAATAGTTGTGTCTCTATGTTGGTGTCTATTAACTGAATAATTAAGCCTTAATACTTGTAATATTTGTTGGCCTTAATATTTGTGTTTTTTTTATAAAAGGAGCTTGCTTATATTGTCACAAACATTGTCTTTTGAGTTTATATTATTTTTTTAAAATGGCAATGAAATGATGAGTTTAAAAAAAACTTTGATCATGGGAAATATTTGACAGAAGATAACTGGACATTTTTAGGACTGACGTTTCCTTCTTGAGCTGTAAGTGCTGTTTGGAGTATATATGGAGTCTGATGCCCCCTTGTGGCCACTGAATAGTACTCAACCGAGCTATGATCAAGGGACTCTACAGCTGAACAATGTGGCTTTTACAGACTCATTAACAAAAACATGATCAGGCTAAGAATTAAAAGTAAATTTCAATGGGGATGTTGAAGTTCCTTTATAGTTTTACTTCCCTATATGAACCACAGAGTGACGATAAATGACCTTTTACTATAAGTCAGTGAACACTAAAGTCATCTTCTCCCTGACACAACAAAGGACTGTATATAAAAAGTATGACATAATAAATAGGGAAGCTAAAGTTACAAAAATGTTGGTCTTAGTTGGTCAGGTTAGGTGTTGGTGTTCCATCAGTCTGTGGATATGATGAGCTCTTTGCTGATTTCTGTGTTCCTTTTCCAGGTGACTCCAGAGGAAGCCAGGGAAATCTGGGAAAACCAGTTCACCTTCTCCTTCAAGAAGTGTAGCCATGCCAACTGGTAAGCAGGAATCCAAAATGTCCCTTGGAATTAATGGCTTAATGCATCTAATCAGGCTGGAACTTATTAGGGTTCAGTCAGGGTGGTTTTAAGTTCAGATGCCATTCCCAAGGATTTGCAGATCACCTGAGAACTAGTCATGAAGAAATAAGTCTTACATGTGCATTCGCCATCGGATGACCAGTGAACTGTGTTTAAAATGCAAGAATGGAGCAGTCCCTCAACCTGCCATACAGCAGAGAAACGTGGGCTGTGTTGTATGCATAAAATATCTGACTTTCTTTTCTGTTTTTTTCCCTAGGAATGGGAAGTGTAAGAAAATTGAGGAAGGCCAGGAGTGTCTGCAGGGCATGCGCCTCCGTCAGTACCACATGTTGTGTGGTGCTCTTTTGCGTGTGTGGAAGCGCGTATCCGACGTGGTGTCTGACATCACCAACACCAGCATCCTGCAGATCGTCCGCCTTAAAACCAAGCAGCATAACAAGCAAGTCGGTCAGTACAAGTGGCTTTTAAACTATCTCTCCCACTTTACATGGTACACACACACACACACACACACACACACACACACACACACACACACACACACACAAGTAGGAATATTCTGGAAATGTTGATAAAAGAGAGGTTTTAAAATGTGAACTTGAATTGCCAGATGTCACAGAGTTGTTTTGATGGTAAAGTGTGACGCTGTTAAAGTGCTGACACTTCTTTATGACAAATTGAGGAAATGAAATTGTCGTTTACTATCCTTATTTATCTCCAGTGAACTCCTGTGAGCTCCTACGTTGACTCTTAGTGACACTAAATTATTAGGCCAGAAACACAGAAAATGTTGCAATTCTTTTGACATCTATAAAACCCAACAGTGTGAGGAAGTTCACTGGTGATTCTATCTCTTGTCTATTTTGCACTACGCACAGATTTATAAAGATATAAAAGAAAAAAAACACTGTAAATATACAGTCAGGTCCATAAATATTGGGACATCGACACAAATCTAATCTTTTTGGCTCTATACACCACCACAATGGATTTGAAATGAAACGAACAAGATGTGCTTTAACTGCAGACTTTCAGCTTTAATTTGACGGTATTTACATCCAAATCAGGTGAACAGTGTAGGAATTACAACAGTTTGTATATCTGCTCCTTGTAAATGGGATAATGAGGGAATAACACACACCTGGTCATGGAACAGCTGAGCAGCCAATTGTCCCATTACTTTTGGTCCCTTAAAAAGTGGGAGGCACATATACAGACTGTTGTAATTCCTACACTGTTCACCTGATTTGGATGTAAATACCGTCAAATTAAAGCTGAAAGTCTGCAGTTAAAGCACATCTTGTTCGTTTCATTTCAAATCCATTGTGGTGGTGTATAGAGCCAAAAAGATTAGATTTGTGTTGATGTCCCAATATGTATGGACCTGACTGTATATCTGTTTACTGTTGTTGTTATTACCTGTGCTGAAATATCACCTTTTAAGAACAATTGTAGGAAGATCTGGTTTTGGATCCTCACCTGTTCTAAAAAGTGTTTTAAATATTTACCTCACTGTTAATTGACATGGCTGTACTCTTCGTCTCTCCCAGGTATCAAGATCCCAGAGAACTGTGTGGCACGCGTGCGCGAGGAGCTGTTGCTAATGGACGAGGAGGTGAAGAGGAGACGAAAGGAGAGGGAGCAGCAGGCTGCGGAGCAGCGACTGGCTGAGGAACATATGCGTAAGATGGAGCAGGAGAACAAACACCTCCTGGAAAATCTGTTCAACCAGAAACCCATGCTCAACCGGTCCCTCGCTCACCCCCACCAGTCTCTCACCCAGAATCAGATCCAAAACCCTCTACAGAGGACACAAACTGGTAACCTCTCTCAGCTACAGAGAATACAAGCCCAACCCCAGCCCACTTTACAGCAGCCCTCCCAGAACTTAACCCTTTTGTCCTTGCAGAGAAATCCCAGCCAAACCCAGCAAAGGACCCATAACAGCTGGCCCAACAATTCCACCTCCACCACCAACCAGGGCCCTCTGTCCAACATGGTCATCCCCACCTCCAGTTTGCCCCAGTTTTACTCCCCATTTTTGTCCAATTTTCAACAGCTGAAGAACCCGTCTCTTCCACACCATCAGGCCGCGCTGCCTCCCAACTTGTCTTCCAAGAATCCCCTGGATGAAATCTTGGACCTGACTGTGAGCTCGCCATCCCCCTCCACAGACACCACAGAGGGTGGACAAAATCTGGACAGTCTCACGAGACACTCAGCAGCATTCGGAGACGACTTCAATATGTCTGTGGAGTCTCTGATCTCTCAGAGTGCCCAGCACGCTGCACAACTACCGCAGCCTCCTTTGCTACAGCAGCAGCAGCAGCAGCAGCAGCAGCAGCAGCAGCAGCAACATCTGGAGCCCAATACCAACGACTTGTTAGATTTGTTTACCCTGATGACCGCGCAGAAAGACAGCCCTTCATCCTCTACCTCCTCTGGCTCTTCCTCCACATCCTCCACATCCTCAACAACTTCTTTGTCAAACAACATGGTTTCTCACACCCCCGCCGGCCTCCTGTCCATCCCAACATCGTCCTCTTCTCTCTTCTCCAGCCCGTCCTCGTCCTCTCTGTTTTCCAACTCTTCCTCTCACTTCCCTTCTCCCTACCCCCCCCTCCAGGGGTCAGACTCTCTTTCCTTACCCAACGACCACTGCAGCGCCTCCGCCCTTGACGTCCGCGAGGCTCTGAACAGCATGCTACAAGCCGGACTGGACCGCAAATCTGTCATACAGTACCGGCAACAAGAGTAGGAGCTTAAACAGCAACAGCTCGTCTGGACTTTTTTCTTTCAGTGTTTTTTTTTTTTGTTGTTGTTGTTGTTGGTTGTTGGTCTTTTTAAAGCAGACTGTGTCTTGTTCGCTGCTGACTGTGATCGCACCCTCGGACCTACTCCCTCTCCCCTCAGGGCCTATAGTCACGTCACTGCCTGTCCTGCGCTCGGCTCACCCTTCCTCTATCCACCTGTAGCGTTCACCTGCTTGAGGCTGTCGAGGTGATAGCGGGCCCGATCAATATCAGATTTCTGCGCCAAAAAGTGCGTCCTCCACAGTGAAAGGCAGCTGTAAAACAAAAAAATGAGAAGAAAACCCCCTCCACCATGTGATTAACTGTATTTTATTGATCATATGAGCTGTCAAAACAAAAGCTCATTCATTGAGGTGTGGAAAATCTTTAATAAACCTCCCGCTGCTGATTTTACGAGGTATGACTGGTGAAGTTGCTGGAAGCTCTAAACGCCTTTCACCAGTTAAAAAAACGCATCGTTAGACTTTGCTTTACTGTTACTTCGCTTCATGGCTGTTTGTCTTGACTAAAACAAGGCTGTATGCAAGGTTTGGTTTGAGTGAAACTAAAGATAGTGTTGAACTGGAAGATGAGGAAAAAAAAAAAAACCCAGATAAAATCTTTTAGCTGAATAGCCATGAAATGCCTCATTTTCTTTCTTTCTTTTTTTTCTTCTACATGCTCCCTATTGTTTCTCTCCCTGCTTGTATGAACACTAGTGTGAGGAAAAAGGGAGAGGAAGAGCAGTCTGCTGTTGCAAACAGTGCCTTTGGAGAAATCTATAAATGCAGTCTTTAAAAATCCATGTAGCCTATGTATAGATTTGTACTCTTGAGCATTGGTTTTAATTTTAATTTAAATAGGGTATATTTGTATTTGACTTTTAGACCCCTCAGTCAGTCAGTCAGTCAGTCACTCACTCAGTCAGTCAGTTGTTCGTGTTACACTATGCTGGTGGTGGGTTTCAGGAAGAAGCCTCCATTAAGCTCGTCTGTGCTCCTTTGATTGTCTGTGTAGCTGCTCTTAACAGCAGTGGACTTTTTCTGTGTCCTGTCCCTGTGAATACGACAACATGCTACAAGGTCAGTTTGGCACAGATTATTGAGCAGCGTGGGTAAAAATTGTGTCCAAAAATGTTATCAACACCCCTTCTTTCCCCCCCTTTTTTTTAAAGCTGACAATAACATTTAATGATGTGACTCCTGGTTTGATTTGATTTTGAATTTCTCAGGAAAGTCTCGAGTGCGTTTTTATTTTCTTTTTCTGTCATCTTGACCAACACAGATATGACATTTAGTTTTAAGTCTTTATTTACAGCAGATAACAGAGGATTTCAAGTTTTTATTGTCATGAGGTCTGAAAAGAACATCCTGTTTTTAACTTTGATAAGAGCAGTTAGTCATGAAGTGTGTTTCCATTTCAGACGTCAAGACTATAAAAACATTTTAAACGTGTAGACTGTGTGTGATAGTACATATTTAAAAAAAACCTGTGAGATCTGGCCATCTTTGTATGAAAAGGATGCACTGTTGTTGGTTCACGACGAAATGCCGGGATAAGTTCAAGTGATTAAAAAGCAATAAAACCATATTCTACATTTGTTATGAAACATAAATGCCTAAGTACTGTTTACGCTCAAAAGGCAAAGCTTTGTGGTTACCTTTGCATGGTATGAATCTTCTTATTTCTGTTGTGCTTCATAGTCTTTTAGTTAAACAGATTCTGAAATGCATACAACCTTTGTATAGTACGTTTTCACGGGATGAACGCAATGCGTTCTTGATGTTTTAGTCATCGTTATTATAAAAGTTATTGTTATTTATATTTAAGGGATATTTAGATTTTAGATATGTTATCCTGCTTATTAGAGTAGTTAACGAAAATGTTTGGTCAGGGAAGTTTCTAGTTTTCAAGATTACTATAAAACAAATTCTATTATAACCTGCCACCAAATAAGATTGCACTGTTCTGTACTGCTGTACAGTGTCTGGATTTATTTCTGCTCATTTCAGTTTTGCTTTTCTCAAGTAGAATTGTTTCTCCAACTTGTAGACCTTTGCCGGGCCTTCATTTTGCAGAGAGATACCAAAGTGTTCCACAGACTCCCCTAAAGTTACTGGCTCTAAGATATCAGAACTTTTATCAATCTCAGGAAGAAACCTACAAGAGGTGTAACCGTGGGGCGTTAGCAGAAATATATCATTTCCCCTTATAACAGTGGTGAAACTAACCAATACATGTGCTATTTTTTTTCTTAACTCTGTGCTGTGACTCTTGCTGTATTTATGTTTTAGACTTAATGTGATGGGTTTGTCGTTTGTCCTTGTGAACATGTCAGTGATTTTAAATGTTTATGCCTTCTTAGGACAAAGATCAAAGGCTGTTTCTTTTTAAGGAACATTATTTTTCTGTGGACAGTTTTATTTTCATTTGTGTTGCAGTTTCTGGAAATTTAATTCATGTCAAAGCTGACAGGTTTTTCAGTCGTTTCGCACCTGAGTTATACTGAAATGTGCAATTGATCTGTCCAAGCCTTTACCCCTCCCTCAGTGTAACACATGTTGAGGTTTAGACTGACTCACAGTATCCCACATTCTTGTTAAGGCTTCTCTTTTTAAATTTGCAGCATCTTGCTATAGCATGTTTTTTTTCTCGTACCCTCATTAATTTTGCTTTTAATATTCCACATCAGGCACATTCCGAGACATCAGTCTGCAAAAGATCTGCCTTCGATTTTGTGTTTTCTAGTCACACAAATAAAGCTTTATGAAATTGAGGGGTATGGACCGCATACCGCATTTTTAGGAGCAAAACCTTTTTTTCTTTTTCTTTTTAAAGAATTCTTCATTAGTGTCGTTAGGCCTTTTATCATTATATTATCATTTTGCACTAAGAATGGCATAATCAAGTTACTGTTCTCTTGTTGGTTATGATTGAGCGTTGCAAGCTTGTTGTGTTTCTGATCTTTGATGGATAGCTCTGTGTAAACTGTAACCATCTTTCTTGTTTCTCCACCATTTGCATATTATATGTTATCAAAGTTATCACGTTCAAATAATTTATTGCTAACAAAAAATGAAACAAAAAACATGCTACTGATTGTATGTATTTTTAAACAAAGCCTATTTTTTCTGTAAAAAAAGAAACTGTGTTCAGCACTTTTATTCTGGGTTGTGCTTTTGTTTTCTATATATTTATAATTTAGATCCAAATGTATATATTGTAAAATTTGTGCCTTTCGACTAATTCTTTAAAAAGGTTTTCTACTCATTTAAGGAAGGACTATATGAAATTGCAATCTTAACTTTGTAAACAAATAAAAACTTGAAGATTGCTGAAACGGAGTCTTTTGTTCATTTGGGAAAAGGCGTTTATCCAAACTCCTGGAGGTATATTGTGGATTCATTAGGAGCAGCAGGTGTGCTCTCACTCCTTGTTTATTTAAACAAATAAAAAGAATCCACTGAGGGGATAAAATTGAGCAGAAATAAAAAGTGAAGGTTCAACTGTTAATCTACAAACATCTGTATTTAGCAGCCAACCACAGCCTAAATTCCGTGTAATTTAATGTGTTATTAATAAAACAGGAAATCAGTGGCAGAATGTAAATGAGTTTATCTACTTCTGTACAATTTTAACGTAGGCCCACTTGTATTTTAGCTGTATTTCCGTTTTCTGCTACATTTCAGAGGGAAATTCCTTTTCACTCCATTATATTTATATAGATATATAGTTACTGGTTACAGATTCAGATTAACCCGTTTAATCCCAAATTTTTCCCTGCAAAATAAGTGTATGCATTTAACTCCTTAGACCTCCCTAACATATAATATGTATGAATTTTTTTATTTCATGTTGGTTATGTTAGTGAAAATGTAGGTGTTATACTCGGCAACAATTGTTCCCGTGGGAAATCGCATAGTATAAATTTACACAAATTCTTCAATTTGACCTATTTACACATGTAAAGAATAAAAATAACGTGAACATGAGTAACATATTCAAACTAGGCATGGTTACAAATGTGTTTAGAACTTTATTAGATACATTTAGATATCATTTCAATGCGAAACTGAAGGGAACTAACAAGGACAACAACACAATTACTGTATTTCATAGATAAAACGCTTAAATAACTGTAGAGCTAAGAGTGTTTGAACTTACAAAATAAGAACTGATACTAGTTTGTAAAAAATAAAATAAATTCACATTGTGGCAGTACTTTAGATTCACTTAACATTTACTAAGATGAGTGCACAGTGTTATTCAACAGAAACACAAAAAAGTGCAGGTAAGTATTCACTGTACTGCAAAAACAGTGCATACTGAAGGCGCACTATTAGTGACCAAAATCTGAATATTTATTTTACAGTTACCAGTTTCAATAGATTTGATTTATGTAACAGCTCAAAGGCTTATCGGTTAGATTTTACTCACCATGAAAAATCCTGAAGCACTCAATGTGGAGTGGTACGTCACACTTCTCACATCCATACACAGTGCGGTTGTAGCATCGTCTGCATCTTTGGTAACGTTTTCCTGTGTTTACAGGCCAGTGATGTTTCCCATCACCTCTTGTGGAATCCTGAGGTTTCACAGTTGCAGATCTTCTGCCTTGCCCAAGAGGCTGTTTTCCATATCTCTTAAAGAGATCCAGGGACAAAACCTGCTGAAAGGTCAGGAGGTCATAATCACTGCCAACAACATCTCTGAAGAACAGCCAACTATTCACCACTGCACTGTGAAGGGACCAGGCCAGGATTGGCCACCACCACTTCTTTGACCTTATTGCAGATCTATATCTTGACACATGAAGATCATGCAGATCCACGCCACCCATGTTTAGGTTATATGTAAGGAAACACAGAGGTTGTGGCACTTTGACAACTGGATGCTTGACCCTCTGAATATCTTTCTACAGCATTGGTTGCCATGGTTACAACACTGTTATCCTTCCATCGCACCAGTAACTTCTCCCCCTCTGTAAGGGCCTCCATGCTTCCACGAGGCATTTTTTCAAAATCCTTCACACCTGTGAAAGGGATGTCATGCAGATAGCACTGTCTCAGTGTGCCAAGGGACCCATAACCTTGTTTGGTCATTTCATCAATGAGGCTAAGTGAGGTGAAAAGGTTATCATGCACAAATGTGCATCCTGGAGGGACTTCTGCTTGTTCAGCCAGACCAAGGACTACACTTGGGCCCTGTCCTAAGCCAGTTTCAGGCAGATGTGTGTGGACTCCACAATAGGGCTCCATGTGAAACATGTACCCTGTGGGTGAAGCAAGGCTCCACAACTTGTATCCAAACCGGATTGGTTTGCCCCTGATGAACTGCTTGCAGCCATGCCTGCCATAATAGGGTATCATGCTTTCATCAGTTGACAGCTGTTTTGTGTATGGCATCATCTTGTAGGTGTCATTCAGTGCATTGAAGATGGGCCGCACTTTGTAGAAAGGGTCGTCTGTGGCCTTTGAGTTATCCACCAGATGAATTGAAGCCAATATCTCGTCAAAGCGGTTCCTTCTTATTGCATTTGAGATGGCTTCATTGTAGACATCAGGGTCATATGACCAATACGTGCCTCCGTGGTACTGAACTGTAGCCAGATGCGAGCAGAACCCCATAAAAACTCAGCAACTCATCCATGCTCAAATCAAGTGCCTTCCCTTTTGGTCTGCATTGAGTAGAGGTTTGACATCTCAACAGTGAGCTCAGAGTAGGAGGATACATCAAAAGGTTTCGCCTTGGTACTCTCTATCTGAGCAGTCACTATCACAGTCATTTTCAATCGCATCTTTTTCAACTGCAGGAATGACTGTCACGTAGCACACATCATGTTGGGGTTCTTTTAAGTCTAGAAGATCCAAAACCTCTGATAGTTTTAAGCTGTGTATAGAAAAATAGAATAAACAGCTAAAACTATTGACACCTTGCATAACGCTACGACTACGCTAGCGGCAACAAATGTTGCCGTGGTTACATTTACTCTTTTTATGATCAAAAGATTTATGTGGGCATATAATTCTCATTATATCTCAGTAGTAGACCCATTAAATAATATATGTACAACATATTTCACTTATATCTGTTAATTAAGGTATTTTACTTACTTCCTCTTGTACAAGTTTGAGGCAGACATTTCCCGCCAGCGGTGCAAGCAGGAAGTAAAGAGGGTCATGTGACCATTCACACTACTTACTTGACATTGATATAAATTAGAGGAGACAACATATTCTTTTATTTTAAAACTTGCATTAGCTACCAAAACCAAAACAGCACTTTAAGAGCTAAAAAGTAAAAAAAAAAAAAAAAAAGAGCTGCAACAATTGTTGCCGGTGGGATTAAACGGGGAAAACATAACTAATATTCAACAACGACCAATTCATAACTTATGATGTATTATTATAGATTAAAGCTACCTGGCAGTAAAGTAGATAAAATCAGCTCCACCTTTACCAGCTGCAACATTAAAGGGATGAAACATGAATGCATTAATAATTATGATCCAACGATCAATATTAATCTGGAATGGGCCGCTCTGCATTATGAGTATGCTTATTATTTTTGGTAGTCTAAGTATATGTTGATGCTAATACTGATGTAGTTTCACTTTTAATTCAGGACTTTTACTTTACATTGTTACTTGAATTTGACTACAAGTTAAAAGTCTGAAATCATCTGATCTTTTAAAGGAGCTGGTGGGATGAGGGGCCTTCTACTTTGACAACCACTACTACTTTTTCAAAATGTGCTCATATCTCAAGTTTCTATATTACAACAATAAAGCGCAGGGCCAGTACACGCTTAAAGGAAGTAAACTTGTGAAATAAAGCTTAAGATAAGATAAACTTTATTGATCCCACACTGGGGAAATTCCACAGCACATAAGAAAAACAGAAATACACATTAAATAACAGCATTAACTATAAAAATACAAGATGTAATGATTTGAATAAAAATTTAATAGAATTAGAGTTTATGGGTTGTACCTCTCTTGTTTTCCAAATAAAAGCCTGTATTAGGAGATAGATTGTGACACTTGTGAGAATTTATTTATAAACTGAAACATGTCTCTTAAATTACGTAACCATCACCTGCTTATGAGACAGTCTCTTGTCGCAACCAAAACTTAGGTGGCGCATTTATTTATGAGGTGCACCGACTTCCGGTTGGTGACGCCAGCATTCGCGTGATGACGTTGTGAAACTCACCTGTACGTCGAGCAGTGGACGCCACGCCTCCACACCTGTCCTCAGGAAGATTTAGTAGAAACTTTTGAAGCCTCCGGGACAGTCAGCGCGAACAAGCGAGACTTTAAAGCAGATTTTTATTTAAGGATTTTTAAAAGTCGGACGAATCGTCTGAGAGCGACTACAGACACAGAGCGGCAGGTTACAGGTACGTTAGCCTCCACAGCTGCTACACAGGTAAAGCATGGCTGTCAGTCCACATCCTCAGGCTGGAGACGGGAAGTAGAAGTTAAGGTTGAGGTTGTGTTTAACAACTGGAAGCTTTTTACAGAAGTAATTTAAAGCGAAAACGTAACATGTTTGTGTAAAGTAGACACTTTAGATGGAGCCGCTAGCACCAGAGCTAACTTTGAGCAGTCACAGGCCCATAGCTTATAATGGGACTGAAAGCCTGATAGCTTCATTAATTCTTCCTTCATTATGAGTTGGAGTTGGATTAATATGACCCAACTGTCAGCTGTGGTTGTTATCGTGGTGTGAGGGTTGTTAAATAGTATATTGTTTTAGTATAGACTGTAGTTTACATGATTGTGTGTGTGTGTGTGTGTGTGTGTGTTGGTGGGCCCCACTTTCCTCATCCTCACCCTACTGGTTCTGCCACACATGCAAGTTTCTACCTGCCTGTCAGAGAGTTTCACAACAGTTTCGACTCTGCATTCCCAAACAGCTGCGTCTTTCTTTCCTCTGACTCCAATCAGTGTATTTACTGATACACTGTTTGATTAAGGATGAGTCAATGTGTTCAGTTTAAGGGTTTGTTGTTCTGGAAAGGCCCAGTTTGTCTCTAGTTGAGTCTTTCTCGATAGTTGAGTTAATTCCTGCTGTTAGTGAAACGTTCATGATCAGTACTGAAGGTCTCTTGCTGAGGAGAGTGTGGAGGTGATGTGGATAAAGTACTTCATCACATTGATGCCATGTGTAACATCTAATACTGCTGTAAACCTTGGCCCACAGGAACCTGATGTTACACTGAGAGATACTGAAGGGACAGCACTATATATCTGAGCTCATATTCATTTATTTCTATTTGTATTTAACAGACATTTGCCTTGACTGAGGTCATGTGCTTGAGATTGTCCATTAGCCTCCAGGTAGCTTTATGTTACACATGCTGCACTTGTTATTGTATTTAAAAAGACTCGCTGCAAGTTTTTTAAACACTCTTTTGCATTCATTCTGAGTGAATCAATATGAATCTATTTCCACATAAACCAAGTGCAGACATCTGTATAGGAGTCCAGATAGCTATACAGCGGGTGTTTGCAGTACTTAAACACTGTTGACAGTACATGCCATGAGTAAGTCCGCTGTGAGTGGGAGCTACAAAGCCCTGGCCTGTGTAATTACTGCCACTCTGTGGGCTCTGCAAACCTCTGGAGTATTTGTCTTTCAAATCTCCATACTTACACAGGGAAGCTTTGCTATTTCTCATTAACCGCGAACCACTGTAAGGCCATTCAAGGCTTTAATGTGTGTCTCAGTCATTAATATTTATTAGAGGAGCTTGTTTGCTTGTTGCACCGTCGAAGAATTCCAGTTGTCACACTGACCGTGGGCCTGTGTTTCACAGTGAAGCTTCGAGTTAAGCTCTTAGCAAACCGGTGCTGGAACAACGCACTCTGGAGTTGGCAGTTTGCATGTTGGCAGGACAACAGGAGTGGCCCTGGCTGAAAATGAAAGAAACGCAGCCTCTGAGGTGGCTCTGCTGCAAGAACAGACTTAAGTCCTGACACATGAGTGATTATTTACCTACTAGCGGGGGCACACCTTTGCTAAGTGTTTGTTTTAGTAACTGTAGCGGTTGCTTGAGGTTCTCTGTTTTCCTCAGACCTATCAATAATTCAGCACTGGTGTCCTGGCTGACCAGAGGCCAGCTGTTCCACCTGGCTAAACCCAGGCCGAGGATCTTGAATCTGTCACATAGCGGCCACTTATTTTCAAACTGCCACATTTTTAAAATCCCCTCACTGATCTGTAATGGACGCTCTCTGGTTCAGGCTTTCATAAGCTGTTTTTTATTATTATTCTGTACACTCAGCTACAGAAATATCCTCCCTTTTCTATCTCCTCCTCCGAAATTAGTTGAGTGCAACTCTCTATGACTGTAGAGCTGACTGGGCAGGGCACTGATAATCAGAGTCAAACAGTGAGAGGTTGCAGCACACCCATGCTGTGGGTTGTGCATAAATGTTAACCAAGAAGGAGAGATACAATCAAAGCCCTGTGTTGCTACAGTGCCATTTCCTGATCCTGAAACAGCTCAGGGCCTGTGTAGGAACCCAGGAAACTTTACACAGGGCAGGCAGATCTATAGTGTAGCAAACACCCCGTCAATTATTAACAGCCCAGTGCTCTCATTCCCCCGACGTAACCATAGCACCCAGCAGACTGAAACTTAGCCAGCAGCCTGGGACCTGCTGCTGCTGCTGCTCCTGCTACTGCCTTGTGGGAACGACTACAAGTTAACCAACACACATACCACTGACAGTGGGAGCAAGTGGACCTATTTGACTTTATGAACCCACCAGAAAGGGAATAATTGAGGGTGCGGGTCTTTTCTCTGGAGTGATGGACACATGACCTCTCTGTAGGAAGCAAAGGAATGTAGCTTGTTTTTTTTCTAGATTTTAAGTTGAATATTTCAAAGTGTCCTGTGGCCTCTTTCTGTGGATTGTTTGTCTTCTGGGGGCTTGGAGACCTGCATCAGTGGGGCTGAGATACAGACTACATGGTCATTTACCGCCCTGCACCGACTCGTCTGGATTTTTTTGTGTGTCTTTATCAGTCAGACCGACTGAGGTAGTGAGCCGGTGTTTACAGAGGAAAAACAAAACACTGTTATCATCATGAATATGACGCAGCGAATGAAACTACTGAAGCACTTTGGCTCTGTGCCGCCGGAGCCGCCACCTCCACTGCTGGTGGTGCCTGTAAGTGGATGGATAGTACTGTACTGTAGCAACAACCTGTATACCTCTTAATGCCGGTCAGTGCTGTCTGTTTGTGCATCTCCATTTATCTGTATTGCACTAGATCAGTTTACTCTTTATAGTGACAGTAACAGCATAATGCACATTACATATTAATGTCAAAAGTATTTTAAACTTTAAACACAGCCCGACAGATCCTTCGACAGGTTCGTCATTACAGATCAAGCCCACTTTACTTTACTTAACTTTACTTTAATTAAGACACGTTTCTGTTTATGTGCTCCAGACACAAGTCCTAGAGTAGTCAATTAGGGAAAAAAACAGTAGTATTACGTAAAACTACCAAATCTTTGCTGGTTACAGCCTAAAAAATGCTGTGATTGTAATGTGTCATTTGTTTCATATCATTATTAAAATTAAACCTGAACAAAACAGAATTTTTGTTGAGTTCAGGAGATCTTATAATGATGCATCTTCTGGTGTTTATTTTTAAAATAATATTACATTTGAAAAAAACAACAAAAAAAAATTTGTGAAAATAAATATTTATATGGCATGTTAAATGTTTTGCATTAGAGTTGAGGTTTGGAATAAGCAGACTATCATTTTCACCCATTTTATGTGCATAAAAATATTTTTAATGACTTGAAAAGCAACTTTGAACCTTGTGGTCAATAACTTGTTTTTCTTTGTTTATACCAATGGAAGTCACATGTTAAACATCTGGAATTAGCTAATATTCATCACTTTAGACAGATGCAGGACTGCATACCTCTCTGTGATTACGATACCTGTCACAAGATACTTTGCTCCTCTCATATCTGTGTGTGTGTGTGTGTGTGTGTGTGTGTCAGGGGGGTTTGCTTAAGGTAGTACAGCTCCACCTTAAATCCCTGTTTATTGGAGGGCACTAGAGAGTGACTATGAGAGTGGGCAAAGGCTGGGTGGGGGAGGAGCGCTCCAGGTGAGGTTTCATCTCCATATTTTTTTCCTTCTCTCCACGCTGAGAGAGAAACACCACAGCTGGTCACGTTATGAATAATTTGAGCAGGAGGATTAGGTTTCCATCATCCTTACAGGGCTGATCTGAGGAGGAAGTACCTGGAGTTGGATAACTGGGATCTGTGATTGTTTTGCTCTTGGTGTTGCCATATGGAATATAAAGAGCTGGCTGTTCATTGAGCGCTAGAGGCCACAGGTGTTTTGTTCAGCTCAGAGATCCCAGTGGGAAATGGAAGTAAGGTTCAAAGACCAAGTGGTAAGTGGAGAGGAACACAATGCATTAATGGTCTTCCAGTATACCGCTGCGTGGAAACACCTAAAACGTAGCTGGTAAAAATGAACAAAGGACATCAGTTATTACTGATAATGTGCGAGGTGAAAACCTAAAGGTGCAGGAGTGTCAGGAAGGACTGCCGGTTGTGGGCTTGAACCACGTCAGTAGGCAGTTAATCTAATCTAAATCTTATTTCAGTCATCTTATTTTTACAGGAGCTTCTGCAGTGCAACTATATAGTTAGAGAGGACTTAGTTCACGACAGCCTGATTCATTTAAACAACACATTTGTGAACAAGATGAATTGTTTTTCAGTGCAGAAGGGAGCTGCTTTGTTCAAAGGCTGATTTTGTTTTTAGAAATCTCATCTCATTTTTAAGAAATTCCCTAGAATGAGAGATAGTATCACTACTATTATTAGCTTATTTTCTTTCTTTAACGTCAGCAGTGGTGACTTTAATTTTCTGCTCGACATCCACAGCTTTAAAGTCTAACTGATCGTATCACCAGTGTGCTGTGAATCAGCTAATCTTTTTGAATATAGGTCAAACAAAGTTGTCGTCTTCTGAAGTTGTTTTACAATCATGTTTGCTCTTTGCTCATTATTTGATTCAGTCATTAACTCGGCTGCTTCTGGTTTATTATCCTTGTTTAATTTGTGCTCTCTAGTTAGCTATAAATAACTGTACAGAAACACCTTCAGGTTTCAGTGTCAGTTAAGATAAAAAAAATGTTGCTTGACGTGCAGTGAGACAATCCTCAACCAGCTTTTATTAGAGAGATCAGGTCAGTCTCTTCCCGTCCCTTCAGGTTTATGATTAACTTGGACAAACAAATGGCCTACTGTTCACAGGTCACACACTGTGTACCTGTGCTTGTGGTTTCCTCTGCCTGCGAGTTTGAGATTTTTGCTGTGATCGTATGTGAGATTTCTACGCCTTAATGATTGCAGTTTTTTGTTAAATTAAGATGACTTATTTGGTCAGTATGTTTGCAGGATCAGTGAATTCATGTTGTATTTTTAGTTGATGTGTTTGGGTGTGACAGGATATTGGATACTTGGCTGGTGTTTGCATTCAGTAAATTCCTTAAAGTTGTAAATGTCGTCTATGTTGCACTGCCAGTGTTGCCTGTCAGGGCCTTCTTGTACTCGTGTGGCCTGCATGTTCTATCGTAGTGTTTGAACAAACTGCAGGTTTCACTACAACAGTGCATCTCTGTCTCTGACTAGAGTAGCTGGCTTTACCCGTTCTTACTGTAACTCAACAAGTGTCTTCCTCGCTCTATGAAACATAGTCCACGCACATTGTTCCTGTTTTTGTAGGGTTTTATAAATAACTAGTATGTGAAACATGATAAACACCAGAGACATGTTAGTGCAGCAAGTAAACGGTAATTAGTGGTTTGTGTAAAATCCTGTCATTCAAAAAGAACATTTTGGACAGAAATGTAGAAACTTGCTCGAGACTGATGAAGGAGTAAAGAGTGCTGTTTGTGTAACAGTGGGAGGGTTTACATTGCAGCCAGGACTTCTTTTCTCAAGTGGTTTTATAACAGCTTACACTGTAAATTGTGTGACTGAAAATTCTCAGATGGTGTTAAAGACTCACTCACATCAAGGAATGAATGACCCACTAAGGTTCAAAAGTCTGAGATTTAACAGCAACACATACAGTTTCTAATAACCAAGACATTTTCTTAGAAATAACCTGGTGGTTTCAGAAAATGTTGATCGAGAACTCGACTGGCTACAAAACCTCCAGGGCCGACTAATTTCACTGTGACTGTTTACAGAAAGTCAAACATAGGAATGTGCTGTGCTGCAGGCACAATCTGTCTATAACATGTTTTTTATTATGTTTTTTTTTAATTTTTTTTATTGCCTTTAATGGATAGTGACAGATGTAGAGTGACAGGAAACGGGGCAAAGAGAGAGAGAAAGGGGAGGATACAAAGGAGCTTATATATCACAGTAAATTGACACCTTGGTGTTTTTTCACTACTTTCTGACATTTTACAGGATAAACAATGAATCGATTTATCAAGAAAATAATAAAAATAACCGTCAGTTGCAGCCTTATTTGTCTCTATATAATGTTTGTGTGTGTACTCTTACTGCACAAGTCAAGTGTGTTATACGTTGTCAACACCTCAAAAACTTGACCACACACACACACACACACACACAGACACACACACACACACACACACAGACACACACACACACACACACAGACACACACACACACACAGACACACACACACACAGACACACACACACACACACACACACACAGACAGGAGGTTGCCCCTCCTCCATACCGGTCAGGCAGGATTGCGGCAGGTGAGAGCATACTGAGATCAGGTTGTCGTACACACACTCAGCCTGCTCCGCTCAGGCTCAACTATCCTCCCTGTAATGACCTGGATTATGTATTAGCATTCATCATTTATGATTTCATATTGTCACAGTTAAATATTACTTTGCTTAATATATTCTTCTTCTTCTGCTGTGTTTTATTTTTTCTTTCCAGAAACCAGGTATGGAGGAGCTAACAATATGGGAGCAACATACAATAACACTAAACAAAGTAAGTGGTTGTTTGTTTAAATAATCAAAACAAAATGAAATTATATGCATTCCAGACGTGAAGGTATCAGGAGTCACTGATGTCACCACAAGAAATTAAAGCCAATTTGAAGTGCAGAGCACTTTATCTCTGGTGGATCGATGCTGGTTGGCTCTGTGCTCAGTGACTGCACAAATACAGAAGTGAAAGTCGAGCCTCGATGTATGGCACAGAGGCAGTTTCAGTATTGTTTCCACAGTTATTGTAAAAGGGCTTGCGGGGGTTGAGCTGGACCGTGCTTCAGACCTCTCAGTTTCACAGCACAGACTCCAGCAGGAATTCATAGCGACACACCCTGCTGCACCCCACAGCACCAGCTGGCTGTTCACTGTCCCGCCACTGAACGCGGCTGGAATTTGCCCTCTATCTCTCTACTGGATCTCCCACACATGCTCATACTTTACCTGCATACTCCGATGCATTCTTTCTTTTCATTCATGTTGCTCTTTCATGTACTTGCCGTCTAAAAGCTTTTTTTTTTTTTTATCTCATTCTCTCATAATGATAGGATCCCAAACTGGGGTTTGGCTTTGCCATATCGGGAGGCAAGGACAAGCCTCACCCAGACAGCGGGGATACCAGTGTGATGGTGTCAGATGTGCTGCCAAATGGACCGGCCATGGGACGACTGTTGTAAGTTGACTACAGTTGCCCCGACGTGACTGTAGAAACCTTTTTAAGGCTTGACTGTACACATATAAAACCCTTAACTTACATTAACTTATTTGGAAGGTGTGTGAATCCACCAACAGACCCAGACTCACATGTGTGTTTGCTTCCACAGCACCAAAGACCAAATTGTCATGGTCAATGGCGTGTCTATGGAGAACATCCACTCTAACTACACCATTCAGATCCTCAAGTCGTGCGGCAAGACAGCAAATGTGGTGAGTACGGAGGAAGCAACCGAAACGCCTAAATGGCATGTATTACTGCTTGGTCTCTAATTCTCTGCCCCTCTCCATCTTTCTCTCTCCAGACAGTGAAACGCCCTCGCAAGATCCAGATTCCAGCAACCACCAGACCATCCCGGGCCGCCTCCCATTCCAACCTGCTGGACCCGGATCCCCCCAGACGAACACGACGCTACTCTGACGGTAGCGACAACAGGGACAGCAACCGCTACCGTTCCCGTGCCCGCAGCACTACGCCAGACCGCAACGGGCATGGAAACACACTACCGTTGATGTCGTCCGGGTACAAGAGGCTGCCATATCAGGACGTTGCAGACAAACCCATCAGAACTACACTGCTTAAAAAGAAAATCACAGATGGTAAGACTTCAGCGACAAGGTAAAAAAAACGTAAGTGTGTTTGCCCTGAAGTACTCGTGGTGAATTCTTGTTGTCTTCCTCTTCCTGCAGAGTATGGATTGAAGCTGGGCAGTCAGATATTCATCAAGCACATGACAGAAACAGGCCTGGCTTCAAAGGAGGGAACGCTGCAGGAGGGAGACCTCATTCTCAAGGTGAATATTAAGATTTGGATGATTGATCTAAAACTGTATTGTCAAGGCACAACAACCCCTGTTCACGTTAATTGATTTGTCTCCTTCGACCAGATCAATGGCATGACAACGGAGAATCTATCCCTGCTGGAAACCAAGCACCTGGTGGAGAAGAGCAGGGGCAAACTGACCATGACGGTCCTCAGGGACGAACGCAAGTTCCTGGTCAGCATCCCAGAGGTGGAGGACAGCGCCCCCAACAGCGAGGACGACCACCGCCGAGATAGCAGCTCTGAACTGGAAGGTGAGGGGTGGAGATACGAGGGGGAGGAATGGTATGAATGAGAGAAAATAGAGAAGAAATTATTGTAGAAAGCTTTCTGGTTTCGCTAAATGAAGTTGTTTTTGGTTTCCCATCAGACATTTCAGACATTGACGAAGACCTCCCCACACACAGAACGTCCCGTCAACCCACCAGAGAGAAACGGACACGCAGGTACACACAGCAGCTGCCCACCACCAAAACTAATAAACATAAAATGATGAACTTGATTGTAAAAATGGCCCCATTTCTTAATAATAAAGCCACTGACGAAATTCTGTATCTTTTTTTTTAAATACCCAGAACGAGAGCTGAACCTCCTCCAGCCAAGTCTCGGGATTCATCCCCACTGCGTTCCACCTTGACTCGGCCTCCTGTAAAAACCTACGCCTCTCGAAAAGGTCGGTGCTGCCAAGGATCACGCTCTTACCAGAGCTACACATAGGTTTAGCTGTGACTTAAGACTGTGTTTGTAAAAGTTTAATGTTTGTGTAGCTGCTGGAATTCGTGTTGAGATTGAAATGGGTTTTTTCAGCTCCATATGATTCGGAGTCCGACCGCAGTGCCTCTCCTCCTCCTCCTCCTCCTGTCAGGAGAACCAGTCCGGACACAAGGGACCACTCTAGCAAATACAAGTCAGTTCAAGCTCATTATTATTATTATTATTATTATTATTAACAAAATGTTAATTAAACTCTGTATATTTCCTATATATTTAGATTTTAGGAATGCAGATAAATGACAGATCATGAAACTAATTAAACTGATGTACAGTAAGGTCCCAAACAATTAAATTATTTACCAAAATTAGACCAATAGTTATAATTCCTACATTTCAAACCTGGAAATATAACCAGGGTTATTTTTTAGTGTTTAAACCAGAACAGGGTCTAAACATGCATAAGACAGAGGTCAGGTTCTCTTATTAGAAAGCATACATCTTTTCTTACTGCACACTGTGCTTGAATCTTGATACAATCTTTTCAGCTGTGGAAACATTGATTTATTTCAGTTTCAGTGACATTCAGCTGAATTATTTCAGATTGGAGGGAAGAAAATTGTTGCTTTCACTTCTGCCTGAAGTCATTATTGTTAAACCTAAATCAGGTTTCTCCAGCAGTAATATTAGCAATATTTACTGGGTATTTCTCAATTCCTTAAGATGGATAAACTGTTTACAGGACATTTCAGAATTAATATCTAACTTGTTCAAGTGCACGTCAATGCAACAAATGTCAAATAATGTGTTAAACATTTTTGTAAATAAGTCTTTTTGATTTGCTCTTTCTCCAGAACTCTGTCTGGTGTGTCCACCCTCCCCAACCCACGGTCCTCTCCTGTAGTTCCCAGCTGGAGCACCTCTCGCCCCACCTCCTCCGCCTCACGGCCCCGAAAGCCAGTGTCGGACTCAGACTCTGACCGCAGTGCTTCCCCTCCACCGCGCAGAGCGAGCCCCCGCCCAGACAGATACAAGTAAGGATGGGAAGCTCAATTCAACTCCAGCACCAAGAGAAATTACTTCTCTTTTCCCACCACACATTTCCTAACTGTCTCCACACTTCTCCTCCCACAGAGTTCTTCCTGATCTGCCCCATGCAGGGCTGAGAGCCTCCCCCATCAATGTTCGCCAGGAGCAACCAAGGAGGGTGAGCTCTCCTCTCAGGGTCCCGCCCCCAGGTCAGTACACACACAGACAAAAAAAACAATCCAACTTTCTTGTTATGGTACACATCCTGGACTTGGTCCGACTCCTCTTTGACAATATTTGTATAATCTGAGTGTTTGCTGATGAACGGGTGTCAACAGTCCGATGAAGCTAAAGCCGGAGCAAACATGAAAGTTGCTCTCTGAAGCATTTTCAAACTATGGAGAAAATTATCAGTAACGTCTGTTTGTGACAGTGTTTATCTAAAAATTACAAATCAGTCTGGAAGTTTATTCTGTGGAATGTGACGTGGTGACGCACATGTAACAGGCATTGTAGAGGCTTAATTATAAAACACTTTAAGGTGGCATTAAAGCCATCCCTCGGTGGTTTAAAACACTGTGGCAGAGGGTTAAAAACCTAGGATGTGATAAATAAAATTAGAAAACCAATCATATTGCTTTTATTTTATGCTGCAGCCCAGTAAAAACTAAATATTATCTTGTAACTGTTCTCCTTGTTCTCAGACTCTGATTCGGAGTCGGACGGCGGCATGGGGCCTCCTCAGAGGCAGAGCACCACGTACAGTCAGGACTCCCTCAGCAGATACAGGTACAGATGAAGGTCCGCCCAACCCCCAACCTCCAACTCCCCCTCACCCCCTCCCTGAAACCCAACAAGATGTCACGGACTGGGACATTGAGCAGACTGTCCACGCCTCTCCCATTATTAACATTAGCTAATCACATGTCTTTATTTACCTTCTAAAACTAAAATTACCCCTCACTGTCTTGTGATTTTTTTTTTATTGATTTGCTAATTTTGTGTCCTGAGTCTCATTTTGTAGCCTTTGATTTTTGCTTGATGTGTTTCTTGACTGTACCAAGTGTTTGTGGTGACATGTTGTTAACCAATGAAATAAAAGTGACTTTCACTGAATATGTCCCTCTCCTGTATGTGGCTAAGTGTTGATTTAACAGAGGACAATTAACCAATCAAACATATGCAGAATAGCAACTTATTGATCAATTCTTGCAAATCTGCACGTTTTATTCAGCATGTTAAAAACGGATAGTAAACATGAACTAACGAGATCAAGCAAGACATCTTATACTACTGAATGGTTAATTTTGATCAGTTACTAAGCAGTTAACCACCAAAGAGAGAGCTTCCCTCAGAGACACTAAGGTGAATATTCAACATTTCAGTCTCATCCTCTCATCAATAATCATCATACTAGCCACGGCCCCCCCCCTTTCCAAACGTAACTGAGATTTGTTATCTTCCTCCTCCCTCACTCCCACCTCCCTCTCTTCTGTTGCAGAGTCCTCCCGGAGGTTGCTGTGGAGCCACCGAAATGGAGCGTCTCCAGCGTCACTGCCAGCAATCCACCACAGAGAGGTGTGTGTGTGTGTGTGTGTGTGTGTGTGTTGTTTCAGCTGAAGAGTGTGTTTGTATTAACTCAATGAGCCATTACGCACTGTTGTGGAGTCAGCATCTATGTTTGAATTTGAAGAGTTGTATACCTTTTGTGATCTTTACTTAATAATGTGTTTTTACAGACATGTGCATCTACACTCTAGCTATTGGCCAATAGGATAAAATGATGATGTAATGTAAACTGTATTTATTGATCTCCACAGCTCGTTCAGACTCTGAATCGGAGGCCAGTTATGCCTCCGTCCCTCGCAGGCACTCCACAGACAGCAACAACTCTGACACCGCCAAAAACCGATACAGGTGAGAGACATTGAGTAAGCCCTTAGTTTGACTCTACAACATGTCACATGTGTGTTGGTGGTTACTAATATTCAACCACCAAATAGTCAAGTCCCAAGTCCCCAAAACATTGCTTCAAGAGTTTCATAACTCAATTTATTTTCATAAACATGTGTGTGGGACTAACCAGAAACCTTATTCTTAACATACCAAGTACTTCTGAGGGCCTAAATTTAACCTCAGCCAACACTGTTGACAGTAAACCAGCATTCTATTGATAGCAACCTGAGCAGGTGGATGATCAGAATATGGGCGCTTCACACATTAAATATTTGTTGATAGTCAACTGAGAATTCTTACTTACTCTGTCTTAAATATCTGTCATTGTACAGAGTAGGCACGAGACTATCAGAAGAGTTTATCACAAAGTGAGTTCAGGTTAGTCAGTTGCTCTTTATCAGGCACTAGTTATCCTGAAAAAACCTTAAAAAAGCTAAGAAAAGTCTTGATCCTTGTTGGGAAATTGTTGCACAGGAACGATAATATGAATTAGTCTGCTATGAGTACAGAGACCTTTGGATTACTCGAACTTTAAAAGAATGTAAAACATTTAGGCTCAGTATGCGGTGCACTCTGGCATAGTTGAAAATGAGACATGTGAGGGCACATTTCAGGTTACTGCCTCACTGTGGAGATGTGTGAAAAGATACCGACAGGATGTCTGACTGGTTCATCTGCTTGTCTCATTGTAAAACACTCTGTACACACTGATGACACATGGTGTGACTTCCTGCAAAGATTGCATCACAAAATGTTTCATATTCAACAACATTTTAGTTTTAATAAGATATTTGATTCAACAATCTCTCACATGCCAGTTAATGCACTAATGTGCTGATGCTTGTTTTGTTTATTTATCACAAGATGACAGACAGGTTCAAGATGACAGACAGGTTCATGGAGTTAATTACTTTTCTTTTTCTTTTCTCAGAGTCTTGCCTGAAGTTAAACCCACTCCAGTCGCTGTGAAGCAGGAGCCTCCTCGTCGTGTGCCATCACCCACCAGACCACCTCCCGATGGTCAGTTTATTCTCCTGTGTTGCACACTCTCCCTCTGTATTGTTATCTAAAGTTTTAGAGCAGGAAGGCCAAAAGTTAGTCCTGACCACAGTCTCTGTTGTCTGTTTACCTCATTCAGATTCCTCAGAGTCAGACCAGCTGTCACATCTCAGGAGGTCTGGGAGCTCTGAGCGGGGAGACACACACAGCCGGTACGGCTGACCATGCCCTACATGAAAAATCAAATCAGTATCATCCTAACATAACACTTTGTTTTGCTATTGTCAAGCTTTACCCTCTTTAGGAACTTTCGTTTGGCTTTTGTGCTGTTTTAAGATTGACGTTTTCTCCACCTCACAGTGTTCCTCGTGCTGCTAATGGAACTGGCACCCTCAGGTCTGGGATTTCAGTGAAGAGCAACCCACCAGTCTACTGTAAGGCTGAGTTTGATAATCGCTTCATTGTTTGAATAATGAATCCCGATTTTGATTACTGAACTTTTGCTGGTTGCAGCTTCTCTGATTGTGTTGTGTTTTTGTGGTATTTTTTCACATTTTATTGACTAAATTAGTAATTGATTATTCAAAGAAGATTACCTGATAACTCACCATTTCTGTATTTCTTCTAGCCAAACCTACAGAAGAGCCCATCTACTCCCTACCTCCAGATTCTTACCCATCACCTAATCCAGGGTGATTACTGTTCATTCGTAATTGTTAATTCATGTGAATATCAACAAATGTATCTAGTTCATTCATCTCAATAGAAATTAACTCACTGCTGATTCGTCTTCTTCTCACTCAGGTACAGCTCAGACGTTCACACAGTATCGTTTGTGAAGGAGGGCAGTGTGGGTCTGAGGCTTGTGGGGGGCAACGATGTTGGTATATTTGTTGGTGGAGTTCAGCCAAACAGCCCTGCATATGACGAGGGAATGAAAGAGGGAGACCAGATCATGCAGGTGAGATAGCGGTGCTTTACTTTTGGCTGTACACCAGGAATACTCAGCTTGCATTGCCAGGATGGCCCGGGGCCAGTTAATAAACAAACATTAATAGCATTTATAAGGTAGGATGAGTAAGCATTAAGTTCGTAATAAGGTGACTTCAAAGTCGTTATTTTAGAAAACGGTTGAAGGGCCATGGCAGCACCCTATCGTGGGCCAGATACATGGACCAGATACATGGACCAGATACATGGGCCTTAAGTTGAGTCTCACTGATAAACTATTTAAAGGAACACAGCTTACAGTAACTTCACAGTGATGAAGAGGTTATTGTTTCAATATCTAGACCTGATTTAAAGCTCAGCTGTTGTCCCTTTTTTGGCCTGTCAGCTGATTTTCAAGATCTGCCAAAAATATAACAGTCAGCACAGTTTATTTTGTTGTGTGCAGGGTTTCACATCAAATCTCTCTGGCAGCTGAGCTTCAGAGCCGTTAAAGTTAAATACATTTTACTTTAGGGTCTTCTAGCTTGTATCTGGCTTCACTCTTACTCCTTCTTACTCAGGTAAATAAAGTTGATTTTGGTCATTTCACACGAGAAGAGGCTGCCAACTTCCTCCTGAACATCAAAAAAGGAGAGCGGGTAGAAATCTGCACGCAGAACAAGATGGACAGTAAGTTTATCACTAAACCACTCATGTGGTAACTTTGGCTAAAGCTACTGTCAGTCAGTGACTACATTTCTTAACTTTTCCTTCTCCTCAGTTTATAAGAAGATCATCAAGTCCAACCTGGCAGACAACTTCTACATCCGCACCCACTTTGACCACGAGGCAGAAGGCCCCATTGGTCTGAGCTTCACCAGAGGAGAAGTGTTCAGGGTGGTGGACACGATGCACCGCGGGAAGTTGGGCAACTGGCTGGCTGTCCGCATGGGGAACGACCTGCATGAGAGGGATAAAGGCACCATCCCCAACCAGGCCAGGTCAGGAAGAGACCTAGATTTATATAGATAGAAAGGAGATTTAGATTTCTAGTTTAATAAAGAACTGTAATTCAGTTTTTACACCCGTCATTTTCCCCCCCTGCAGGGCTGAGACGTTGGCCAGCATAGAGCAGGTGCAGAGGGCGAGCGGAGACAGGCAGGTGTCAGGACCCAGAGCTGAGTTTTGGAAACTACGGGGACTCAGAGGGAACAAGAAGAACGAAAAGAACGTCCGTCGGACTCGTGACGACCTGTTGCAGCTCACCATTCAGGGGAAATTCCCTGCCTATGAGAGAGTCCTGCTCAGAGAAGGTTGGTTTTTATAATCCTGTGTCTTTATGCCCTAACGCTGTAACGAGTTGAGCAAGTTTGAATAATCCTGAATTGTTTGTTTCTCCAGCTAATTTTAAACGACCTATTGTCATTATGGGTCCTCTTAATGATATTGCCATGGAGAAGCTGGCCAGAGAGATGCCTGATGAGTATGAAGTTGCAGGTTAGTTTCTCATTTTTTTCTTTAGTTTCAATGTAAAACCGTTCTTCCCTACCTTTCTTAGTTATTCTCCTTATTTCTCTTCCTGATCTTATGTTCACATTAAACTTGTAAAATAAAAAAAAAATTAAAAAACATTGTTTTTGGCATCATGGCAGACATGGTTCCTCGCAGTGGAGCAGGAGACAGCGCCTCCACAGTTATTAAACTGGACACTGTGAGGAGAATAGCAGAGAAGGTGAGCCAGAAATAGAAACATTTGATATTCAGTCACTTTTAACAACATAAATGTATTTTTGTTTTGTTTGTGTTCTTGCTAACCCCCTCACACACACTCACACTATTTTTGCTTATCTCTTTTCCCAGGACAAACACCCTCTTCTGGACATCACTCCCACTGCAGTTGAAAGGCTGAACTACATCCAGTACCACCCAATGGTCCTGTTTTTGGACCCTCACAGCCGCAAGGACGTCAAGACATTAAGGCAGAAGTACAGCCCCGACTCCAACAAGAGCTCCAGACGCCTTTACACGCAGGCCCTGAAGCTGAGGAAACACTGCAGCCACCTTTTCTCAGGTAATGACACATGAGCGAACTCTGTCCCTGTCATATATTGCAATAGAAAGTACTATAGACTCTATAAAGGTTGGTAGCTTCTTTATTTGTCAATTTATTCCAGACAGATGAAAGATATACCTCTCTCTTCACACTGTGTGTTTCTCCTCCAGCACGTATTGACCTGCAGCCCAACTCCAGTGTTTGGTATCAGAGTCTAAAGGATAAGATCCGCCACCAACAGTCCAAACCGGTCTGGGTGTCTGAAGTGACGGTACGACACATAACTCCTTCTGACGCACACACACGAAGCAGACTTTCACATTTAATCCCTTTTTCCTTAGACCTTTAGTCTAAGGCCAAAGGGATTGAGGTTAAATTTGTTGTACGTTTCATTTCTTACAAAACTTTTTTTAGCTTAATACAAGAGAGTTGGCACTGTATTTGTCTTACAGTTTGTTCAACATATGTTGCTCTCCAGTGGTAAACTAATAGCAAAATTTTTTTCCTGCGCAGTTGGAAAGTGGTGCAGAACAGGACTTGGATGCTCTGGACCAAACCCAGTCAGACTACCTCAGTGCTGCCAGTGACCTGGAGGACACTGACGGAGAGGCCTTCACCGATGGAGAGGCCTACACCGACAATGAGGACCTGGAGGAGGCTTACCCAGGTCAGAACGCTGCCTCTAGGTTGGCTGGAGCTGCTTTAGCCCGATCATCTGAGCCCGCCTTAGGGCACCCCAGCACCACCGTAGACCCTGAGCTTCACGACGACACATACTCTCTCAGAGAAATTCCACCGTTGATGCACGTACCTGAGCCCAAGTCGCTCCGCCGGGAGAGTTACAGCCCAAATCACAGCGATGTTGAGGAGGAAGAGCCCTCTCATCGTAGTTTTACAGACTCAGATTTCAGCACCCTTGATGTAATTGCTCCCACTTCTCCGTCAGACGGACCCCCAGACTTTATAGCCCCCACCCCCAGTCGCTACTCTGTGAATGAGCCTTCATATGCTGAGGTGCAGCGTGAGAGCCAACAACATGCCAGCCTGTCCGCTATTGAGGAGAAATTACAACAGGTAAATAAAATGTTGCTGTTATTTAAAGGACGATACCTGTGTTTTTTATGCATGTATATATGTATTTTTTTTTTTTTTAAGCAAAAATTCCAAATATGACCTGGTTTTAGCTTCTAAAATGTCAGTAAACTAAATATATTTGGCTTTTGCACTGTTGGCTGGATAAAGTAATTTAAATATGGCAAATTGTACTTTGGAAAAACTGTGATTGAAATTTTTTACAACTTTTGGGTATTTTTACAGACAATTTAAAAAATGGATTTTCCAAAAAGTAATTGAATGCACCAGCATTACAACTCAAATATAAAGATTATCATAAATGTTTACTGTTTAGGCAAATTAAGTCTCTGTAAGTTGACTTTTCTAACCAGTGTGGCTGCCTGCGGAGTAATACATATAACAATAACTGCTTTGCACAATGGTTGTCAGCATTGTAAGGGAAATGTGACTTTAAATGGATGTAAAAATCCAGAAACACCAGTTTAGTCTAAATACCACCAAACATAATTTATGAAACGAAGATCTGTGCTTGTAGTAATGTGTGTTTATTTAGTTTAAACCCATTTTTCATGTCAGGAATCATAGAAACCAAAATAAGTTCTGTTCTTGTCTTCTCTTGTAGGCTCGCTCTGCAGAGCCAGAGCCACAGGCACAGGCACAGGCACCTCCTGAGGAGAGGAAGGGTCCTCAGTTCATCGTGTAAGTCTTCTTTTGCTGTCTTTGGGTTTTCTGAGTAAAGCCAGACTGAGGCTGGTGTGCTAATTTTAACCCCCCCTCTGTCCTGCTCTGACTTCGACAGGCTGGCACATCATCACCAAGCAGTCCAGTACAGACGGACACAGATCCGAGGCAGCGACAGCTCTGAGGATGACGAGGCCGAGGCGGAGGACATTGAATGGGGTCCTGCAACAGAACTCTAGAGTCTGTGTCAAGGATTAAATATTGAGTCTACTGATCTCTACGAGGACACAGAAACTATTTCACTCCACCGAGAAACTCTTTTTGTAAATGTATTTTCTGTAGAAGCAGTTTTTATCTGAAGATGTTGGTCGGCCATGTTCAGGTGTGGGATACTGGATATTCAAGATTTCTACAACCTTTTAACAGATCACTAAAAGTTTGAATGTCTTAAGAAAGGTTCTCACATGCATGCAAATCAAAGTGCCTGATTTCTTTTTCATATTTTTTTATTTAAATAACACCATGTCAAACAAATGCTTTGCCCTTTGTTACTGCTGCTGTATGTAACATACAAACAAGTTCTAGTTTTATTAGAAATTATACCAAATTAGTCTCTTTTCATAGAAATATGCAAGAACATTTATTAAATGTGTGGATGTTTCTATAACGTTTTCTACATTAAACGGTTTTCTTGAGTTCAAAAGTGGGTTTGTTCAATCATACAAAAAGGCAAAAACATATTAATGTCTTATTTTTTATTACATTTATCTCAGAATTTCCAGAAAGTAAAAACAACCCTGATCCCTGATAATCACTGGTTATTAGCTAACTGTTATTATACACCAGTAACATGCAATATAAACAGAAATATCAGGTGGTTTGGGGAATTTTTACTAATATCTTGTACAGGAGCCCTGTGTCAAAACTTTCTTAAATACACATTATTAATCAAATTCTTACAAACTCTCTCTTCACTTCTGTCAAGTTAAACATTTATTCTTTTATTTCATCTCATTGGGCTTCATTGCTGGGTCCCCCTCTGGTGGTCAGGGTAGAAAGATAAATGTGTAAACACCAGTTTGATCTGGAACATTTCAAAGCCAGTACATGTTTAAATAAAGTGACATTTATGTTGTAGTTTTCAGTCAGTCCATTCCAAAAGACCAGAACATAACCACTGAATATTGTAGAAAGTATTAATCAATTATAAATACCTCTGAATTCATATAATCTAGATGTTTTACGGTGAAAAACAAAATTCATGTGATTTCAATGTCCCCCTTTGAAATGTCCTTATTAATGTATTTATTTATATAGTTTATTTTACATTATCAAGCGTTAAATTAAACTTTTCTTCCATTGAGGGTTTATCATTGCTGTCCTTCAAGTTAGATTTCCCATCATGAATTTCACCAGTTCAATCTGAGTCATTGTTTTTTTTGTCATTGCACAGCTTTATTGGTAATTATGTACTGATTTTAAAGAACTGAATTTAAACCACAAAAACTAAACAAGTGATTCAGTTTTACAAATAGATCATGTCCAGATGCTCATAAGATTCACACCTTTACAGCCTTTCAGTGTCTCTACCTGTAACTGAAATCAGTGTAACACAGTGTGGAAGTGATGGGCTGCAATGTGAACGTCTCCACATTTGAATTTTACGTCCGCAGCAGGTGCACGAGGAGGCGGAAGGTTACGATGGAAAGCTTAAGGTCACCTGCTGCAAACGCACGTGTGTCAGGATGAACTGATTACTGAGAATTTGAACAAGGCAGAGGTTTGTTCCTCTGCGTCAGGACGCATTTCACTCCCACTGCAAGTTACCGTGAATTCACGATGAAGCTGAAGTTATTGGACAAAGTGTCTCGAGTGTAATTAATCCGGAATTAATCTTCCCCAAAAAAACTTAGTGAATAAGCCGCATTTGACCCGTGTGTGTCCCTCCTCCTCCTCCTCCTCCTCCACTGGAGGGAACTGAACGTGCGCGCACAGCGGATGCCGGGGAGGGCACGCACAGCGTTTGCGGTGAGCAGCTTGTGTCTGTGTCAGTGAGCCTGCGCGGCTCGATGTGCGACAGCGGGAGGAGAAAGACAGGCAGACAGTTATCGTGGCTGAAGCTTGGCCTGGATGGCACCGAGCTCCCGCTGAGCGCGAGAGGCACAGCACCCAAGTGGCGAGTCGGGGGGTGGGTGGGGGGGCTGTACGTGAAACTCAAAGAAGTCGGGATGGACGGCAAAGGCACCCTGAAGATGTTCAGGAAGAAAAGGGAACTCATCAAGACGCCATCTATCTCAAAGAAGAGCCGAGCAGGAAGCCCCGGGCCGCAGAGCAGCGCCCAGTCTGTGAGTAGCATCACTTCTGGTTTCTGCCTACTGCTGCTCACTCTCTCTCTGTGTGTGTGTGTGTGTGTGTCTCAGATGACCTTCCACTGGAGGGGACCGACTGCAGAAAGGGCTCCGGACAGGGGGGTGATTCTGTGTGTGTGTGTGGAGACTGCTAACACCAAATATAAGTTCTGTTTGGTTAAGTTTTCTTTGAAGGGCTTGTGACTGCTGGGTGAGAAACTAGTCTATGGGTGTGTGAAAATACTTGAAACAGTCATTATGATGCAGTGTCACAGTGATGAATGTTCAGATGGGTGCCTGACTCATATCTATCTTCTGTGTGGGGTGTTTTTTTTTGCCACTAAACCAGTGGCAGGCTGCAGCGCATGTGTGAATCCTCTTACGAGATCAGTTTGAACAGTTGACTTGTGCTTAGTTAGAATGGGGACAGAGCTGTAGGGAGAAGGAGCATGAAACGCGTCAAAAGTAGCTACAACCCTTACTCTACGAGTCAGAGAGTTAAGAAAGCCGAGTCGAAGGGCAAGGACAGGCTGGACATACTGCCCAACAAGCACAACGTATGGCTCAAGCAGGTATGTTGGAGTGTGTGCGTGTCATCCGATGTGTCTGTTTTCTGTTTCTTATAAAATGTTTGCACTGTTTTTAGCAGTGAGTTTGTCTCCTTGGCTTCTTCAAGCCCCAAAAACTGTATTTACTGTAGTCAAAGTGTACCCTAACTGAGAGAGGAGCTGCACGATCAAGGCTAAAAAGAAACCTGATCGTGACTTTTTATGTCTGTTTTGTAAGCAGATGAGAAGGTCATTTCAACCTCTGTAAATATCACTGTTCTTATTCCAAACAGTTTATGGCATTTCTGTGTTTCTACACCCTCAGTTTGCCACACCCGTCAACAGCTTGGAGTCAGGAAGTGTTGCACAACGCAACACAGGATCTTGTGAAAGTCTTCATATGTGTGTTTACCAACAGCAGAGTTGCTTGGTTTAAAGGCCACAAAGGCAAAGAGGAGTCAGGCCGGCGCTCCTCATGCTCAGGTTGAGTGTGATTCATGTGATCATCTCGACCCTTTCTCTCTTCCTGTCCTCTCAGCTGTCCATCCTCCAGGAGCAGCCTCGGAAGGATGCAGGCGATGTCACCCTCTCCTCTTCGCCCTCATCTTCTTCCTCCGCTTCAACTCTCACCCCGACCTCTGCCGGGGGCCTGGACCCCTCCCTGTCCTGCCCGGGTACCCCCAGCACCCAGCACAGCAAGCTGGCGGCGATGCAAGGGGTGGGCTGCCCGTCTCCTGTGGCCACCTTGAAGAGACCCACTGCGCTGAGCAGACACGCCAGCGCTGCAGGTCTGGTTCAAAACATCCATAAACATCGCCTTAAATTAATGAAATATGCTCAAATATAGTCTTATCCCCGCAGCAGCTTCCACAAGTGAGCTGAAACCGAAAGACAAAGTAAAACTTGAAGAAAAAGCACAGGTGCAGTGCACAAAATATTAAAAACACCTTCTACCTCCCTGACAACCTGAACAAATGTTGAATTATTATCTTTTATATTGTAAAGGTGGATTTTAAAGCTTCGAGACAATAAAGACTGAGCTATGGAAATGGTGGCGGTCCCAGGGACCTGCAACTAATGCCTGTTTAAGTATTGATGGATTGATTTGTTGATTATTACTTTTTAGTAAATTGTCTCCAAAATGTCCTGCCCATCATAATGTCCCAGAGCCTAGAGCGACATCTTCAAATAGTTTTTTCCTCTTTTCCAACAGAAATCCAAACATCTTCAATTTACAATGATAGAAAACACTTATTCACAATTTGATGGAGAGATAAATGAGAAGATCAATACCACTTATGTTTCTCTTTTATGAAGCTTCAGCCAGCAGCTGGTTAGCTTAGCTTAGTATAAAAACTGGAAACAGGAGGAAACAGCTAACCTGCCTCTGTCCAAAGGTGACACAATCTACTATCCAGTGCCTTTCAAGCTCACTCTTGCTAAGCTAAGGCTGTAGTCTCACACAGTATTTAACAGACAAATATGAGTGTGGTATTGATCTTGCCCATCTAACTCGTTGGCAAAAACTGAAACTATTCCTTTAAGAATATGAAACAAAAAAATCTTGAGCACTTTTGTTTGATGAATCACTCAAACCGTTTTTCTCTGTCTCCCCTCAGGATTCCCGCTCCAGTCGTGGGTGTTCACTAAAGGCCAGGGAAAAGGGGCTTTGACCCCCACTACTCCATCTGAAGGCCCAGAGAGCACAGCCATTGAGGTTGAGGACATCCCGGCCCTGCTGAGGGACGTGGCACGTTTTGCCGAGGCTGTGGAGAAACTGAAGGATGTCGTGCTGGCTGAAGGTGAGCGCGGTGACAGATGAAGCTTTGTTTACTTCCACCAGGCACAAAACATCCCACAGAAACATTAACCTGATGTACAAGTTGGAAGGTTGCAAGTAGTCACTGTCAAACTGAGTTGGGCTCCTGTCTCTTATGCGCACGTTTATTTTTGCCAGATTACAAGACGTGTTTGAGGACATGTGTTATGGGTTGATTTGTGGTTGAACCTCTGGGAGTGGCTCTCATTCTAATATTGCTCGTTTTCACTACTGTGGAGACGAAACATAGTTCCCTTTGCGTGTATAGCCAGCTATGATTTTCCTCCTCTGGCTGCACTGACAGTATTGTGTCGCTGCTTTGTGTGTGTGCTGTGTATTTGTATTTGTAACACGTTAGTTTGGGGACCGAACAATACTGTTGGGTGTCTCCTCTTCCCCTTTGTGTTGCACGCTCCACTCCATTTTGACAAGGGCTTACATGAAAAGGACACGAGGCATCCACAAAAGGTTTTTATCAACCTTAGTCAGTCAACCAATATCAGTCCTGTTCACACACGTGTGTGTGTGTGTGTGTGTCTGTGTCTGTGTCTGTGTGTGTGTCTGTGTGTGTTGGGGGAGGGAAACAGGGCGGAGCAACCCTGCACAAGCAAGCTAACAAGTGTCTGAACGTCCTCTCTCCAAATGAAGGGCTGCGTTTCTGCTGCGTTTCCGCTGCGCCCACAGACTCGACCGCACTCTTGTCTCCAGCAGGAAGCCAACTTCTTGTTTACTGCAACCTCATACACACACACACTCTTCCTCTCCTGTGCAACGCATTAAAATGGCAGAGTACCTGTCCTCGTGGAGTGAAACCACCACTCCAGTGTTGATTCCACCAGCTACACGAACTGAAAAAAGAACAGGTGTTGTTGAAGTCATTATGGTTAGATTCATTCATTAAGGTTAGATTCTCGGCTGGAAAAAGCTTTTTTTCCCCCCAGAGTTCTGTTGTTTTGTTGATTTTTAAAGAGCTTTGTTTATGTGTCTT